AAAACCTAAGACCAAACTCAGAACATTACAGTTAAAAAACTGGAGTCAAAATCTTTATGGGTATCCACCCAGATATTCCTATCCCGAGTACCAGGGGCCCAGATTTTTCCAAACAGCCTGAACTCCTCCTTTAGCAGAGACAGTAAATCAAAAACAAAATCACGGGGCACCTGGGTGGCTGTCGGTTGAGCTTCCAACTCTTGATTTCAGGTCATGGGATGGAGCCCCACATCAGGTTCTGTGCTCAGCTCGCCATCTGCTTGTCCCTCTCCCTCCTCCCACTTGCACTCTCTCTCTCAAATAAATAAAATCTTTAAAAAAAAAATCACAACTTGGAGGAACCCATGAAGATGAGCACCACCCTAAAGGGTCGCAAGGACGCAGGGCCGGGTCCCCATCAAGTCACCATTTAATTCACCAATCTGGCTGGACGCTGGAGAACAGCCACAGGCAGTTGCCGGCTCCATCAAGTAGTGGCACCCACGGCAGCAGCCGTGCCCCTGCGGCATCTCTTTTGCTAGAGCAGATTACAAGGTCCCTGGAACATGGTATCCAGCCATGGATCTGGTGAATGTATTCTTTTCTATCGCAATCAAAAAAGAACATCAGAGGGCGCCTGGGTGGCTCAGTTGGTTAAGAGGCTGCCTTGGGCTCAGGTCATGATCCTGGAGTCCCGGGATGGAGTCCCGCACTGGGCTCCCTGCTCAGCGGGGAGTCTGCTTCTCCCTCTGACCCTCCCCCCTCTCATGCGCTCTCTCTCTCTCTCTCTCATTCTCGCTCTCTCAAATAAATAAAATCTTTAAGAAAAAAAAAAGAATATCAGAAACCAGGTGCATTCACGGTTTTGCCCCAGGGCTATATTACTGGTTCTGCTCTCTGAAGAGACTTGGGTCTTCTGACCATCATGCAGAATGTCACATTGAGGGGCGCCTGGGGGGCTCAGTCGTTAGGCATCTGCCTTTGGCTCAGGTCATAATCCCGGGGTCCTGGGATCGAGCCCTGCATCGGGCTCCCTGCTCCGAGGGAAGCCTGCTTCTCCCTCTCCCACTCCCCCCTGCTTGTGTTCCCTCTCTCGCTGTGTCTCTGTCAAATAAATAAATAAAATCTTAAAAAAAAAAAAAAGAATGTCACATTGATCTATTAAACTGATGGCATCATGCTGATCAGGCAGAATTAGCAGGAGGGGTTAGAACACAGCTGGCTTTGGTAATGCACATGCAGCCTAGAAGGTGGAAGATAAACCCCATGAAGATTCAGGACTTGCCATTTCAGTAAATTCTTAGGAGTCCAGTGATGAAAATCAAATTGCCGCCTCTTATACCCCCTTCCACAGAGAAGGAAGCGTAGTGGCTGGGAGGCCTCTGTGGATTCTGGAGGCAACACATTCCACACGTAGGGATAATGTTCCAGCCCATAAACTGAGTGACACAGAGGCTGTCTGGGGCAGGGAGAGGGCCCTGCAGCAGGGCCAAGCTGGGGGGCAAGTATCCCTGTCACTTGGGCCATATGCTCTGGCAGGCCCTGTGGTAGTGGGGGTGTCAGTCAGACACAGATGCAGCATAGATTTTATGGGGAGCCCCAGTGGGAGAATCACAAGTACCCTAGGGTTCTGGGGGGAACAGTGGAGAATTTTATGATTTTAGAAAACAGCTCCTGGCAGGTTACTGGACAGAATGCTTGACATCAAGTGACCATGTTTCCAGAACTGTCCATTACATGCTGGGTTCTTTTGGACTCAGTTATGGACTGAATTGAGTTCTCCCTCCTCCCCTATTCATATGTTGGAGTCCTAACTTCTAATACCTCAGAATGTGACTGCATTTGGAAATAACGTTGTTAAAGAGAAAATTAAATTAAAATGAGGTCTGGGGAGTGGGGCTAATCCAATCCAATCCTAATCACACTGGGGTGAGCAGTGTCCTTATAAGAAGAGTGAATTTAGACACAGACATGAGCATGCATAGAGAGATGACCACATGAAGACAGGGTGAAGGTGGCTATCCACAAGCCAAGCAGAGAGGCTCCAGAAGAAACCATCCCCGCCAACAACTTGATCTCAGACATCCAGCCTCCAGAAGTATGAGAAAATAAATTTGTTGTTTAAGCCACCTGTTCTGTGGTATTTTGTTAGGGCAGCCCTGAGAAACTCATGCACCCAACTAGCCATAAAGTCAGGTGGGCCCAGTAGCAGTCCATGGTAAGATGAAAATGGCCCATTGGGATTGAGCCTGCGTGGAATCAGAGGGCACCAGTAAGCTGCAGGAGCAGGTAGGCTAGACTCTCATGTCACCAGCTTGGTTCTACCTCTCTCAGCTTATACCTGCAGCCACGTGGAAGGGCCCGTACAACCCACTGAAAAAGAGAAAAAAATCCAACGTTCTAGACCAGTTGGCTTGTAATGTACAAGCCACAAATAGATGCGGGCTGCATTAAAACCACACAGGGGTGACTTTAAAAGAATGTGCAAAGGAGAAATCTGTCAAATGGCAGAGGTTTGAGCAGTGTACTTGCTCCTGCACTTTGTATAGAAGTGACCTGAGGTGAGAAATATACGAATGCATAGGCAGCGGTGAATGGCCTGGTTAGCCACTTTGGAAACTTGGAAGGAAAAAGACTAGAGATGCAGAGATAAGAAGCAGGCTTGGAGGTGTGTGAATGGCCACATGGGGTTGGCTGGGGAGTGTGAAGATCCAGGTGTCACATGTTGATGCCCACTAGAAAGCAACCACTGTGCAAGAGGCACTTAACTATCAGGTAGACAAAATGAGTAGGTTAATTGACTTTGGCTAGCCTTCACCATCAACTACCCCAGAACTGCCACCATGGGCATTGGAATGGACTCACCATAAATGTAGAGATGGAACCTACTCTTGGGCCCCCAGGACAGACTCTCACTTACCAAGGCCAATCTAGCTGCTGCCACTGCCACACACCCAACCTGCTGGCAACAGACAAAGGCTGAGCTCCCAATAGGACACTATTCCTTGAAGAAACCAAACAGTTACTTGGTGGCAAGTTAACTCTGTCAAGCATTTTCCAGCCTGAAAGGGCCAGTGGTCTATTCTCACGATACTTTTTCTGTATGGATTTGCCCTTCCTGCCTGCAAAGCCTTAGGAAGCACCATCATCCTGCCCAATCTTGCTTCTTCTTTTATCATTATAGGTGTTAAATTTGAGCATGTTTCTGCACATTCCCTTCAAATTGGCTTCTTTCACTTAGTAATAGGCAGGTAAGCTTCCTCTGGGTCCTTTCATGGCTTGACAGTTCATATAATTTGGATGCACCAGTTTATTTATCCATTTACCTACTGAAGGACATCTGGGTTGCTCCCAAGTTTGGACAACGACAAATAAAGTTAATGTAAACATCTGCAGGTTTTTGTGCGGACGTAAGTTTCAACTCCTTTGGGTAAATGCCAAGGGGTGCGATTGCTGGATCACATGGTAAGGGTGTGTTTAGTTTTGTAAGAAAACTTCCAAACCATCTTCCAAAGTGGTTGCACCATTTTGCATTCCCACCAGCAATGTACGAGAGTTCCTGTTGCTCCACATCCTTATCAGCATTTGGTGTTGTCACTGTTCCAGATTTTGGCCATTCTAATAGGTATCTAATTTTTGTTTTAATCTGTACTTCTCTGATGATACAGAACATTCACTTTTTTTACACTTTTTGCATAAAGGTTTTTTTTAACTGGTTTATCATTATGTTCCTAATGCTTGCCAAGGTCATCTCCTGAGACTAGATAAATGATAAAGGTTAAGCTATACTGAGTATATTGAAATCTGAAATAAAAGTGTACACAAAAATATGTGCAAAAAAAGTGACACAGAGAAAGTGTTCTTATTTTGTCATCTACCCTCAATGACCAAAGTTCACCAAAGACCATTTGCTTTCAGTTGGTCCCATTTTCTACCTATAGCTTCCTTGCCTCTCTAAGCTCTCACCCCCTCGCCCTTGTGCCCGTTCCCTGCTCCGTCACCCCCTCGCCCTTGTGCCCGTTCCCCGCTCTGTCACCCCCTCGCCCTTGTGCCCGTTCCCCGCTCCATCAGCCCCACGCCCTTGTGCCCGTTCCCCGCTCCATCAGCCCCACGCCCTTGTGCCTGTTCCCCGCTCCGTCACCCCCTCGTCCTTGTGCCCGTTCCCCGCTCCGTCACCCCCACGCCCTTGTGCCCGTTCCCCGCTCCGTCACCCCCTCGCCCTTGTGCCCGTTCCCCGCTCCATCACCCCCACGCCCTTGTGCCCGTTCCCCGCTCCATCACCCCCACGCCCTTGTGCCCGTTCCCCGCTCCATCACCCCCACGCCTTTGTGCCCGTTCGCTGCTCCATCAGCCCCACGCCCTTGTGCCCATTCCCCGCTCCATCAGCCCCACGCCCTTGTGCCCGTTCCCCGCTCCATCACCCCCTCGCCCTTGTGCCTGTTCCCCGCTCCATCACCCCCTCGCCCTTGTGCCCGTTCCCCGCTCCATCAGCCCCACGCCCTTGTGCCCGTTCCCCGCTCCATCACCCCCACGCCCTTGTGCCCGTTCCCCGCTCCATTTCTTCTAGCTACCAGCCACCCCAAGAAGCACTTTCTTCCCGACACAACCAGGACCAGTGGGCATCACTTCGGTCATTCTCTCTCAGCCCTCTGCTCCCTCCGCCCCTCCTGACTCCGACTATGCCCACCTCTGGATCAATCTACTTTTACACATCTCAGAATTCTGGAACTAGACTGTTCAACTTCAGTGTGTGTTTCACTCCTGTTTGGCAAATCCTCTAACTTTGGATCCGCTTATTCTTTTCGTGATCTCCACCTCCTCAAGGCCCTTACTCCACTCTTACCCCCTCCTTTAACCACTTCCGAGCTAATGACCTTGCTACCCACTCCACAGAGGAAATAAGCCATCATTCATGCACTGAAGCCAGAAAGCTGGGCAGTCTTGGACTCCTTTCCCTTTCTCAATGCAATATCCAGTCGGTTGCTTTTTCAAGTCATCTTAAAGTCTTTAGGAGACAGAGGAATTAAAAATATTTAATCAAGTAATATAAAATTTTTTCTACAGCAAAATAAAAACATACCTTACTAAAAATAAAGCCACATTCTACATTAAATACATTAAAATATTGATACTTTTATAAATAAAATCATTTTAAATGGTAAATACATGATAAAATTTCTCTCATATGCTGTTATATATAGTTCAACTGATTTCGAAAATATAAAAACTACATCCTTCCTTTAAAAAACATTTAACTTAATTTTACAAAATTACCAAAAGTTAAAAAGTGCTAAATACTCATCCATTGTTCCCATTTTAAAACAATTATAGCACATCAGGTCTTTAAAAAAAGATGAATGAGGGCATACGGCTCATCCTATATTGCCTAAAAATGAAAACTTGAGACTTTCTGGGCAGTGGGAAAGGCTGGGAAGCTGAGTTCAGTGCCAGCCAAGGCTGTCATCCACGCAGAGCTGTTCCCCATCCTGGTTCTCAGAACCACGAGATTCCTCCTTCCTGGCCCGCCCCGCCCCCCCCCCATCTACAGAGAGGTCTTTCTAGGCCTACTGGTTCCAAACTTTCAGGAAAAAAGGTTTCTGAAAGAATCTTGATATTTAAATCATATGGCAATACTAAAACAATTCTAAGGATTGAGGCATTTTGCATTTGAATTTTATGCAAAAGTCACAAATCTAATTCCATCTGAAGAGGACACTTCATCTGGTAACTTGATTTCATATCACTTATCGAGGTAGGATAATTTCTCTGAAAACTGTCCTTTCTATACAAACGGTGGTTGTACTGGAAAGGGTTCTAATGCCTTTTCTGCATTCTTCCAATTGTGAAAATTCTCTCTGTACCAGTCAACTGGTAGGAAAAAAACAAAAGACAAAAATAAAAAATAAAACACTAAACACCAGTTAACCAATATTTACTGGGTTCTTGCTAAGTAAGAAAAATCCTGCCCATCAGCTACTTAGCTAATTTTACTTAGATTCTTAATTTAAGTAAGAATCAGTCTTGCCAAAGGGATGCCTCATGAAGAAAACAATTTGATTCTGAACTAACCAATGTCATTGATCACAAGATGTTTTAATACCTGAAAACTTACATTTAAAAATCAATTATTGTTTTCTTTTTAACTTCAAAAGTCCTTCAGTATTGAATTTGCTGGTGTAAGTGCTTAAGACATTCTGATTTTAAGAAATTCAGGACAGAGGTAAGTCATTTGCACTGGTTTTAAAGTTACAGAAAAAAATGCAATGTTTTGTTCATGTAAATGCAGCAACACTGCATTACAGGCATAATGAGATGGTGTGATCTTCCTTCTGGTAATATGTAAAATTAGTTTATGTGACTATACTACCAGTAAAGTGTTTTTTTAGTAAAAAATGATAAATTATCTTTGAATTTGCTTTTAAAAACTCAACACATCTACTCTGTGTCAAGCTCTAAATGAACACTTCTTTTCTACATGTGTGTATCTTTTCTCATAAATACATTTTTAAACAAAACTTTAACATATATATACAGATTTTATATATGCTCATTTTAATGGCTATTTCTGCACATACTAAATTTTGTTTGTTTTAATATAAAAAGACTTAAGACACTCGGAGACTGCAACTGTCAATATCTCATAAAATCTAAGATACCACTGACCTCAAAATGGACTGTTATTTTACATATTGCCAAGAAAGAAAGGAAGATGGAATAATAAAGACACTTGTGACATTAAAACTCACACTTTAAGGATGTGAAAAAAGTGAAAAGTTTGCACCTGAGAATCAATAAACTAGCTTTCTGACAAATGCTGATAAGACACAGGAAGCCTAAGCAGAAGTCAGGGTGTGAAATTCAAGATGCTTAGGAGATATGTTCCTGTTGCTGGAAATATATGAGATGTAATAACTTGAAAATGATGCATCACAACATTCTACTGAATTTATAGTGTTCTAAAAGTAAATTACATTCCCTTTAAATTTTTCTGAATCTCCTCTCCCCCCCACCAAAAGGATCAATGCATAACATACTTGTTTTCTTTATTCCTTCTTTCCAAGGCACTTTGGGTCTCCATCCTAAGCCATGTATTTTTTCTGACTTCATTGGATATCTCATGTCATTGGTAGGTCTCGGAAAACAAAACAGATTTAAAATGACATTGTGGATATATATTTACAAATTTAATACTAAGAGAACTAATGTGTGTCCATGAATCTTTACCATAATTCAATTTTTTTCTTAAAAAATTCTCCCTGATGACACTTAGAGAAAATTCGTAAAATAAAGTACATATTAAAAAAAAAAAATCATCTGTAATCCCAGAGACATAACCCTCTCCATGGCTCATCCTTTTCTGCTTTCAGCCATGATCTGGGTATGAATGCAGTGCCTCATACCTAAATGTTTGATGAATGAATAAATAAATCCACATAAATGTATTAGGGCTTTTATGTTCTACATCCTGGGTACTTTATATACATTATAATAAAACCTTAAAATACTTCTGTTAACAAGACATCATTAACCCTATTTCACACCTGAGGAGATGTCAGCCTTGGAAAAGGTCAGTAACTTTCTTTAGTCACACAGCTAGTAGGCAATAATGTTACACTTTATTCTTTTGACACATAATTAGGAAAAAGTAGCAGAAAACTCAAGAGCAATAATACTAGTTTCTGGTTAAGTCCATATATTTTAGAATTGTATAGTATCTAAGATTTCACAACCTTTCCCCAATGTTTTAACTTGTAACTCACCTATCATTAACATAATCCACCCAGTTTTCCATTTCGGACTCTGAACTGGTCTCTTTGATCTGTCAAAATGGAGAAGGCTTTTGAGTCAAAGTTACAAAATAAGATCAGAGAATAACAAAGGATCCAATAGCTGATTAAAAAGACAAGAAAAACAACCCCTTCGGGGTGCCTCAGTGATGCACTCAGTTAAGCATCTAACTCGTGATTTCGGCTCAAGTCATGATCTCAGGGTGGTGAGATCGAGCCCCACGGAGTCAGCTTGAAGATTCTCTCTCCCTCTCCTCTACCCTCCCCCTGCCCATGAGCACACACACACTCTCTCTCAAATAAATAAATAAATCTTTACAAAAGAAAAGAAAAATAACCCCTTCAAAGTGGAGGAGACAGCTAAAATGAAGAGCATTTTAGTAACACTTTCCATGCTTTATAACCCACATTCCATCTGAAGCTCACACGGAATACACTGCATAAACTAGGGGAGAAAATTAATTTTTTTGACTCTTGGTTATTATTCAGTATGATATTGTAATTTATAATAAGAAGTATATATTTGGTCTTTATCCAAGTTCCTAAACCCTTGGAATTTCCTAAGTGATGAGAGATAAAAGTGTCTTTTGCTATTCATAACAAGCCCCTTTTAAGCACACCAGAGTTTATGTTAATGAGTGAATTTTGGAAAGCCCCTAAGGATGGGGGCTGGTTGCCAAGGGAACCAACCCTGTCCTCAGAGGGCTGGAGGCTGAATTCATAGCCAGTGGTCGATGATTTAACCAATCATGACTACTTAATGAAGTCTCCATAAAAAAACAAAACAAGGGGGTTTGAAGAACATCTGAGCTGCTGAAAACATGCAGGTACTGGGAGGGTGGCAAGCCTAGAGAGTGTCTGATCAATCCACGCTCCTCTCTCATACCTCGCCCCAGGCATCTCCTCCATCTGGCTGTTCCTGAGTTCTATCCTTTGCAATGAGCCAGTGAGTCACTCCGGCTAAACACCTCTGCTGTATCACCAGTGGTCAGAAGCACAGGTGACAACCAGGTTTTGTGGTTGGTGCATGAAGCAGGGGATCATCCTGGAGGACTAAGCCCTTAGCCTATGGGATCTGAAGCCATCTCCAGGCAGATAATGTCAGAATTGAGTTAAATAATAGGTCACCCAGCTTGTCTCTGAGAATTTCTGGGTATGAAAAACCCACGTTTGGAGTACAAAGTATTCTGAGAGCAGTGTAAAGGAAAAGTATTTCAGTACACCGAGTCTCCCTTTCTACTGAATCCTGAGACTAAGAATTGATGTTCACTAATACATACATACACTCCTAACTATACTTACATATCATCGATCCTTAAGATTAGCACACACAGTTTTATATTTCTGACGTTGAGGTATTTGTTATAATGAATATCTACACTGAATGTGTTAGGATTTTTATTTTCCTGAAAAGCTATTATAAATGAGTGACAGAACTTCCAGTAATGACATATCTCCATGTACTTTTCATTTTTTTACTCACTCACTTTCCATTTGAGTAAATTGTAAATGGCTGATTTGGACTAAATGAGTGATTACTGCCACTAATTTAGTGACAATTCTGAAAACACTACCCTTTTGCAATATATACATACCAGTTGTATTAGTTCTTTGGCAAGCTGGAGAACTGACATTTCAAAATTGGTTCCGATGTTGTAAATTTCACCGGGTTTCCCCTTCTTGAGGACAGTGAGAAATGCTTCTACTACATCGGTCGCATAAAGGAAATTTCTTGTTTGAAGCCCTGATCCATGAATGCAGCTAAAAATATTAAATGAAAGGGATCATAAAGTATAAAAAGTAAGCTCTCCCAAACCAGGGTAACACAACTCCAAAGAAGCCAATTCCCATGTGGAGCCTAGAAATCTTTTACTGAAAACACAAATTCTCATGACTTTTCTAAATTTTATCCATAATTTTTAAATGACCACCGAACCTCCTACAGCACTCAGAGGGGAAGTAGCAAACATATAAATGACCCCTGAGAAAGAAGTTATTCATCAATTTTCTACCTTAAATTCATCTTGAAAAAATATGTATAGCTCTGTGAATTAGATAAATCCTTTGGAAAAGTAAAATTATATAAAGACTGATGTCAGATCTTAATGCGATAATTCAAAGTTCTAGGATACATTATTTAAGAATTGGAATTATAAAAAAAATTAAAATTATCTAAGTAAATTATAAAAATGAGTAACAGATTGTAATTATTTAAAGAACCATCACATTGATTGTAGAAGGAATTCATAAATTTGTTGAAACATTCCATTCTATGGCCTTCAACTCAAGACTATGATTTTCAAGAAAGGCTGTCACTGAATACTATCCACATACCAGAAAAACATATGGGTACAAAGGTAAATAATAACATACCATTTCCTGTTGTGTTGTAGTAAAGATATAAATTTTGGAATAACCTAAAAGAATATTTAAATATCATTTCAGACATTGGAAATTCACTCATTAATATGAATCTAACTCATCTTAAGATTAATAGATTATGATTATTAAGAAATATACATAGAGGTAAATTCTAATTCTTATCAGTTCAAGAAAAAAGCTATTGTAATTTTGATAAGTGAAAGAACTCTAAAATAGCTTCCTATTTCACAAAAACAAGATATCTGCTGGACAAATATAAAGACAAAATGATACAAATAGTGTAAAAATTCAGAAAAAGTCTTCATGAACAGTTTGCTCTCATCACAAAAGCTCACCTTTGATTTCATAAGGGCAGGAATCATATCTTATTTATTGCTTTGCATACAGCACCTATTCAATCAGTGCTTGTGAAATTAATAAGAAGTAAATTCCAGTGCCATTGACCTCAAAGAAAAGTCATGTTAAACAGAGTGAGATATATTATTAAACTTACAATGCACCTCTGAAAGATACTCCCCAAATTAAGCAAAGTAGATATTAAGACCAAGAGATCATGACATGGCCCCTTTCTTTGGCCAAATAGATAAATGCAACGAGCTGGAAAGTGAAAAACCCTATCTCCAAATTTTTAGTTACAGAAAGCAATGGTTACTTCAATTAGGCTTAATGATACAGAACCAACTGCACAGTTGGTTCAGCCTTTTAACTACATTTCTTTATTCACTACTTGTACTACTTTCTGGAAGACGTTCAGGCCAGCAACAGTGAAGAGGAGCTGGGGAACAGTGAGTCAGCTGACGGGAAGACAAATTTCCGTACAAGCTTCCCGCAGGACTCTCTAACTAGCTCTCAAATTTCTAGATTGCAAACTAGGAAGGAGTCTTCAGCAACATGACAGAATGCTCTATAGTGCTTCAGAATCATGAAGAGCACCGGGCATTTCCACATTATCATCTCACTGGATCCTTCAAAAATCCCTTCTGAGTATTTTCATTATCCCCCAATTCAAAGATGATGCTCCAAGGGCCTAAGGTCCCGCCAGCTGGTGTCAGGTTGAGACTTGAACTCAGGTCTTCAGACTCTAAACCTGATGAGATTTGCATGTGTGGCCTATACAGTGCTTAAAATTATGTACAATTACAGCAGAAATTATACCAGACAAATAACTGAAGAGAGATTATCATAAATAATGAGAAGCTACAATCACTAAAAACACACCATGGATTCACAAAATGTACCTTTTCTGGATACTGATGTGGTCCATAAACATTACTGCTTCGCGTGATGACGGCTGGAAACTTAAAAAAGTAGTCAATGTTAATGCAATAAGAGGTTCAACTGTAATGATTTTCTGAAGATAAGCAGTCCTAAAAGATGGGCACCTGCAGCTAAGTAACTCCACGCACCTTAAGGACAGAAGGGAAGGGATTTTTTTCTGATGTAAGGTTCCTGAAAATATGGGAGAGGATAGGATTCAGAGAAAGGCAGAGGCTCCTAAAAGGAAAAGGAATATTGTCTTTCCTGGGACAAGAGCCGGATGAATATAGATGGGGGCAGGTTAGTTAGGTTTGATAGCGGGAAATTAAGGGAATGTCTACCCAATGATTTCAGAGACTGCGTCTTAGACCTTAGGTTTGGTTAGATGTGAAACTTCACACTGTCTTTCCCTGATGCACCAACCCTTACAAATAAAAAGAGCTACTACAAAAGGGAAAAGGGCCGGTGCTATGGAACATAAAAGGCAAGAAAATGTCAACTCCCATTCACGAGGAGCCAAGAGAGGTGAACCATGCAGAGACGAGCATGTGGCAGGTCACAGAATCTGCCCCCCTCTGTCTTCCACCTGGAGGATTCTGGGAATCAGGATATTCCAATAGAGCTTTTCCCTATACCTGTAATACTCTACGTACCATTGAAGTAGAAAACATATAATAAATTATTCCTTTAAGTGGTGAACTGAACAAGAAGTAGGTCCTACTTTGTCCACACAATATAGGAAATAAGTATTTTAAACGCCTTAATATATAAACTCCTCAATCTATGTCTTCAACTCTAAAAATGGAATGTGGCTAATGCTAACTTGGGGTTGTTATCACCTAAGTCAAAAGAAAAATGATTCAAGAGTTTCTGAAATCAGTTCTTACTTTGTATCGTTCCCAGTATGACTGTACAAAACACTCAGCAGCTGCTTTAGATGATGCATAAGGATTTGTAGGTTGTTTGGGTGAAGATTCATCAAATTCCTAATTTTAAAAAGATGCATTAAAAAATACACCTATTATGCATAGTTTCTAAGTAGAAAAATCAGAAAACATATTATAAACCTGAAATGTTAAATTACTACATGTTAAAAGACATTTACTGAACCCCAACTATGTCCCTGGCATTTTTCTAAGCATTTTTTATAGAGCAGCATTCACAACAACCCTATAAGGCAGGCAGAGAACAGCAAGTGCAAAGGTCCTGGGACAGAACTGTGTCCAAAGGAACTTCAAGGAGGTTGATGTTAGAGAAGAGAAACAGGAGATGAAGCTGGAGAGCTAGAGGGAGGCCAGAACACGTAGATCCTTGAAGGCCAGTGTCACAATATGAACAGGTTTTGAGCAGAGAAATGTCATGATCTGACTTATATTTTAAAAATCATTCTGGCTATTGTGTCAGATCTGATGTAGGATGACAAAGGTACAGGAAGAAAAAAGTCTACCTCATAAACATTGCAATGAGAATTGAGAATAACTGCTTCTCACAGGTGGGACTGGATATTGAGGAGAAGTGGTCTGGGTCTGCTTTTTTCACTGTAAGTTTTTTCAAACTGCTTGATTTTTTTTTCACCATGTATGTGTTTTGGTAAAAATATAAAACAGAATGAGGTCATTCGTTGAAAACAATGATGATAAAAAATATAGATGAGAAAAGAGACATCTTTTGCCTAAAAAGTATAATATATACAAATGATTAAAAAGGGAGAACAGATTCTAGTTTCTACAGTAATTTCACATTCATTCCTTGACATTCCATTGTTTCCCAAGTGGAGGAGAAAGGTGAGCAGACACTAAGCTGCAGCCTATTTACCTATGCCTGGCCTGTGGGAATGACATTCATCACGTATGGACTGAGACAGAAAGGTGGGATGTGCTGCTCTCTGGTAAAATATTGTCAGTCAAATGACATATCAATTTGTACTGAGATGAGGTGGTTGTTGCCATTTCAGGTAGTATTCTCTGATTTGAACAGAAGACACAAAGGAGTAACATTTTGGAGAGTCCCACAGTGTGTATAATGAGGGGATGAAAAAAGCCCACAAAAGGTTTTAATAAGACAGACTGCATTGTGGTCCATGGTAAGTAGGGTGAAACATGCCATTTCTGAGCTTACCTTATCAAGACTGCCTCCGTATACTTCATCTGTGCTCACGTAAATAAACTTCTCCACTCTGGCTTCATGAGCAGCACTTACCAAAACATGAGTGCCATAGACATTAACATACGTAAACTCAAAGGCGCGTACAAATGAAAGATCTAAAAAAAGAGAAAAAGCTAGAACAATTCCATCCAAAGGACAAAACAAATACCCAACAGTAGACTCGGGTTTAAGGAAAGCTCTATTCACTTCTCTTCATTCACCACAACTGCAATAGTTTAAAAAAATAACAAAAACACATTGCTACCTATGATTGCTTTAAGCCTAAATTATGAAGTACATGAAAATTCTTAGAACCTAGAAAACTATCAGTGCTAAATTTGCAGGAAACACTTTTTTCTTATTCTAAAAAGAAAAAAAATGATACATCTAAATTTAAAATGTTCTTAAATTTAAAACTTGAAACTTCTAGTTTCTACTAATAGATGGCAAGGCTTTTCAGATCAATCTGTTATTGCTGAAAACACAATAAACACTGGATAAATTATTTTTAAAATAAATTTACTTTGAAGAATAGGTTCTCTATAATCTGGGAATGAGGGGAACTTTACTAAAAATGGCTCACAATCCAGAAACAAAAGGAAAAAAAAACCTGATCAGTTTGACTATGTAAAAGCTCTTGCATAGAAAAAACAAACAACCAGAAAATCTATAAACAAAGTAAAAAGACAAATGACAAACTGGGACAAATATTTGAACTTATCAGAAACAAAGGGCTAATATATTCAATCTATAAAGAAGTTATAAAAAATAAAAAGGAACAACCCTTTTGGATAGGAGACATAGTTTAGACAAGAAATACAAAGGTCCTTAAGCTTAAGATGCTCAGCCTCAATTACAATAAGGAAAATCCAAAATGAAAACTCACACATACCACTTCTTACCTATCAGACTGGCAAAAAATTTAAAAATTTGACAATACCTTCTGTTGGTGAGGCTATGGGGGAAGATACTTTATACATTAGGAGTAAGAATACAATGTGTTTCAACCCCTAGGGAAGGAAATTTCTCAATATCTAGGCAAATTACATATGCTTTTATCCCTTAACCCTGGTTACCGGGCTGAACTGTGTTCCCCCAAATTCATGATAGAGCCCTAACCCCAAGTACCTCAGGATGTGCCTATATTTGGAGATGGGGCCTTTAAAGAGGTGATTGAATAAAAATAAGGCCATTCAGGTCCCTCGTCCAACATGACTGGTATGCTTCAAAGAAGAAATTTTGACACAAAAAAAACACTAGGGACGCTCAGGGGGAGACTGTGTGAGGATACAGTGAGAAAGTGGCCATTTGCAAGCCAAGGAGAGAAGACTGAGGAGAAGCCGGCCCTGCTGGCGCTTGGACTTCCAGCCTCCAGAAAGGTAAGAACTAAGTTTCTGTTGTTTAAGCCCCCAATCTGTGGTATTTTGTTATGGCGGCCCTAGCAAACTAATCTACCCTAAATTCCTCCTTCTAGGAAACCCTACCCAACATCAATTGACAAATATACAAAGGACACAGGCACGAAGCCATCCACTGCAGTACTTACTATTTAAATAGCAAAATGTAGGAAACAAACACAAATGTGGTACATCTATGCAATGGAGTATATGAAAATAAAAAGGAATGAGGAATATCTCTGTATTCTGTTATAATCTCCTAAATATACTGTGGAGAAGACCAAGGGAGATTATAATTTTAAAATCAGGTAATAAGGCAGTAATATACTAACTACCAATGAGGATTCAGCAACATTCTATCTTTTGTTTAGGTGATGGCTATATGGGTATTCGTATCATCATTACTCATTTAGCTTTACTTCTAAATTCTTCTGAATGTATGGTATATGGCACAATATAAAATGGTAGACAATTAGAAGATATCTCAGATGCACAAAACAGTATGGATAATAATATAATGTTCAACCGTGTATACACAAGACCCAGCTTTAAAAAAAAAAAAAATTAAAAGTACAGTTGAAGGCCCATCTCCCCAGAAGTAATCACTATATTGAATTTAGTTAAACTCAAAGTTTTAAGATAGCATTCAAGGTTATATTTCAACCTACACGAATAAAAGTGCCCGGAAAAGCACCCAGTTTTCCTGGTAGGGCATGGCATGTGCTCTTTCAAAGACATATTAAGCCCCTACTTGTTTGACTTCAGTACTGGACTTTGATTTAGGCTAATTAGTCACTGGGAAAAAAAAAATGCCCTTCATAACTGTAACATAAAACAATGCTTACCTACATGTGTTTGTGCAGCAAAATGTAGTACTATATCTATTTTTTCTGTTTCAAAAAGCAGTTTCACAAAGTGAGAATTACATATGTCACCCTATACGAAAAGCAAACAGGAAAAAGCAAAATTTCATTCAGCCTTCCCATTGGTAATAACTATTTTACCACATGAACCCAAACATTGATAAGAAAAAAATTAATCCCCCACCACCACCACCCTGCTTTAATAGAGAATATCTTGAAAATCCAACCAAGGGGTCAAGTAAGTATAGTAATGATGTATTTCTCCAGCATCCTAGGATATAAGATAGTCAATTCAAGATACTTTTTTGCAAATGTGTCTAAAACAGTATTTTATCAAACACCAGCTACGACTAAGAACCATGCTAGCTTTTTCCCATAACATTCATGCCAACCTCATGTTAACAGGAAACTTTTAAAACATATTTTTAAAGTTTGAGGTAACCATTATTGCAGTGTATTTAAAGTAAGTGTAACAGTTACAATGACATTTTAAAAAATGTGTTTCACCACAACTAAGTGAACTTATGAGTACTTTTGATTTTATATGTACATTTAATTCTTCTAAAAATATGTATTCTCAACAATTCTTTGGTGACTGAAAGAAACACTTTCATATAGAAGAGTAGAATTATAAAATGTTTGCTCAGTATATTCTTCATAATTTGTGGTGAAAAAGAGAGTTTATAGATTATCCTTTTTAAAGAAAAACATAAATCATGAGTTAAATAGTTTCATCTGACATTAAAATTTCCCTTTGCAACTTAATGACCTGGCTCTCTGGTTTATACTTTGGACTCTTCTAAGAGTGCCTAGTAAGACTCAGCCTTCCAGAGCCAATCAATCCACCCTCATAGAAGAAGATCATCCCATGGGCTGTATGTTGGGCTTTTTGGCTGTTGCCTGGCCTGAGTAACAGTCCCCTTTATACGAATCTCTTTAAATCCCAGCAAGGCCTCATTAAGGCTAGTGAGGACCTAAAAATCATAAACCATGTAAGTTCAATCACCTCCTCATAGATCTGCCAAGGCACCAAATATCACATGCAGCTTTATAGTGGTATTCATCTAAAATCAGTATTCTCTATAGCACATGGTACTTCTGGAAATTAAAAGGTCTTTAATAAGCATGCTTTCCAAGCCCACATTACACAAGCTTGCGAAGTAGAAAGATAGAATGTCTGAATGGCTAAAGAGACACACAATAATAATTACATAATTATAAGAAAAGTTTCATACCTGTATAAATTTGTAGTTTTGTTTATTAGAAATAGTTTCAAGATTCTTCAAGCTTGCACAGTAATCCAGCTTAAAACAAGTAAGTGAGGGAGAGGGAGAAAACAACACAAAAAGTGATAATAGTTTTTCCTATAAAATATTTTAAAGACTGTAGATGTTCTGATCATAATATAAAAACATGTCTTCTTAAAGTGTTTGTTCTTTGTGTTTTTAGAAGAAGTCTCTGATATCTTAAAAAGTAAAAAACAAAAACCATGCCATTTTGTTACCTTTTCAAAATACAAAAAAATTACTTTTTAGAAACCCCTCCTTTAAAAAATTTTTCTGCCCAGATTTGCCCCCAGCCACCAGAAAAACTTACCATTTCTTACTGCAAAGGAATTAGTACTTGAAAACAATTACACCTGTGTTATGCATATTATAACTCATTACACTGTTTCCTGAGTTAATTGTTGGTAAATCCCCATACAAAGGGGGAAAAAAATTACTGCCCGATAGTAAGGCAGGCAAAAATTGATAAGACCTACAGATTATTCTGTCTATAGATTTTTACTATTACATTTTATGAAACTAAGGTACCTAATTGCATCTTGTGTTTAAAGTCAAAAATCCAGTGATTATCAATCATGGCTTTCAGACTCTACAGGGAGACTTCAATTATTACAGAAAAATCCTCAAAGCTAAATTAGTTTTAATTTAAGAAGTAAATGTGTAATTTTCCAGGAGGTGGCAGTTATAATAAAATAATAAATTATAAGTTATAATAAAATAATAAAATCAAATAATGAGAGTATCCCAACTCTGGAAAAAGGTTAATAATCACAAGATTACACTAAATATTTAGGTTGAAGATTTTCTTTTGGTAAAAATACTGCACTTAAAACCTTCACTTTATGGGCTATCGTAATGAAAAACTTTTAAAAGACTAAGATTAAATACAGCATGATCACATGACTATGTAGGCCCCTAAGTTGTTAAAATGACTAAATAAAAAATTAAAATATCAGCGTGATAAGATTCTAATACTTTTAAAAAATGTACATAAGTGTAAGTGCATGAAGCTCATTTTTATAAAACTCACCTTGTCTAGATTTATGATCATATAGTTTGGATAATCTTCTACTAAAGAGACAATCACATGTGATGCGCTTTAAGAAAAAAGTATATCGTGTTAGTAGAAAACAAACTTTTCCTTAAATTCTTCACATTTCTTAAATGTTACCGTAACCTGTTGAGTATTAGGAAACATTCAAAGATACCTTTAAGTTTCTGCAAAATAACAGAAATAACATAACTACACTGAATACACTCCTTCCCCACCCCCCACTTTTCACTAACTTTCTCAACAGTATCAATATTGATATATCGATATCCCTTTGCACTGTGGAGAAAAGAGAATTTACTGGTCCTAGGTATAAGGAAAAAAAATAGTTTAACCAAATGATTTTGTCCAGGTGCTTTGAGTGTGGGAGTGAAGCAGGATAAACACAATGGGTGGTGGTCAGTACAGATAGACTGAAACTATAACATACCTTTTAAGACACTGTAGGTATAACTATGCAAAACTTAAGTTAGTATGAGCATGGGAGTTGTCTATGTTCACAGTAACCCTACTGCAATTGCTATCTCTTGGTACAAGAATTTGGTGGTATAAACTAGAATCCTCTGGGAGGTTCTAGATTAAACCTCGGTTTCCAAGGCTAATAATGGCTGAGGCCATCCTGAGTTAGAAAGCCATAGTGGCTCCTGGGTTTCCGAGGACCTGAAGTGGAACCAGAGACATCTGTCAGTGAGATGATCCACCAGATTTTCTCATAGACACAAAAACATTGGGCTCCCAAGAACAAAGACAGCCCTTGACCAAATCATGAACTCAGAGTTTGTAGTTGACAGCCCTTTCACATCATTTTCTAGAACTTGCCCTTCGGGGGCCAGCACTTTCACACAAGGACCAACCTTTTATGCCCATGCCCCTCTTCTCATTAGATAAACCCTGCCTGTCTGATACCCTCCTCCAAGTTATTGTCAGATTTGAAGAGGCAATTTAAGGTACTAATGGGGGAGGTGATTCCCATGTTCCTCTTCCACTAGACATTGGGAGTTTTCTGTTGGTACCTATGCATTTGTCCATTCAGTAACTACTGAAGACCTTTGTAAAATAAGCCAGGCATTTTTATAGATGCTGAGTGAACAGTAGTCTCTGCCCTCATCCAGTTGACATTCTCGAGCAGGGATGCAGACAATAAGCAAGTAAACACTCATACACAAAATAACTTCAGACTTCAGGTAGTGATTAGTGTGTTAGTTGGGAAAGGGGCTATTTTAGATGGGATGGCCAGGTAATGCCTGTCCCAGGAGGTGATATGTAAGTAACCATCCGAACTGAGAGATGGAAGGGCTCTAACCAAAGGGGAAGCAAGTGCAAAGGCCTCAAGACAGGAGGAATGGGCCTCATGTGTTCCAGGAACTCCAAAAAGATTAAGTGTGGCAGGTACAGAAAAGCAAAGAGGCAGAATGGCAGATCAGGTTGGAAAAGTAGGGCCTGGACACTTGAGTCTTCTAGATATGCTGAAGAGTTTGGATTGTATTCTAAATTTGACAGGAACCACTGGGGTAAAACTCTATGCACTTAACTTACTTAATAAACACTGACTTCTCTGTGCAGAACAGACTTTAGGGAACAAGAGGGGAAGCAGTATGACCAATCAGGAGCTACAGTAGTAATCCAGGCAGAAGACAGTAATGTGGACTAGAAGAGGAGGGGGGAGGGAAGAGAAGTGTTCGCTTCAGAAGCAGTGAAAGAGGACTCACTGATTGCATGTGGGTGTGAGAAAGAGGCATCACACATCTCATCCAGGTCAAAGCACCAAAAGAGGGTTTTTTTGTTTGTTTGTTTGTTTGTAAGCCCGCTGAATAAATGAATGTCCTACTATAATCCAAAACTTGTTTCTTGGCGCTTATACGTACAAAGCCTTTCTGTGTACGGAGGGGGCAGTTGGTGAGAGGCTTACTGCAATGTGGGGGCACTCAGAAGAGTGTCAGGTGCATCCCGGGCCAGGTGAGAAGGCAGACAGAACCACAGTACTTTGGCTTTGTTTGGGAGGCATCTTAAAGTTAAGTCGCAGTTTCAAAAGAACCAAGTCTTCGCGGACCGAGAGAGGGGGAAGAAGGTAGGGGGATCCTGTTCGTGCGTTATAACCCCCCCCTCGCCCCCCAAGCCGGTTCCAAGTTGCCAAGAGCAAGCAGAAGCTCAGGAAGAGGTTGGGGTTTCTGGGGAGCCACTACTCGGCCAGCGGCGCCGTTACCTACATGAAACCAGCACCCCCGGTCACCAGGAGCCGCTTCGCAAAGCTGCTGGGAGGACCCAAGGGCTCCGTCCGGCCTGCAGCTGACATCTCCCAGCTCAGCAGTGCCTGGCAGCGGAAAGCGCCAGATCTGTACACCGCAGGTAACTTCCACCGCGACTTTCGGCGACGCGTCCCGCTGCCCGGACACGTCAGTAGGGCAGGCGGCAGCAGCTTCCGGAGCCTGGCCGATTTATCCCCGCCCACTTGCGGGCTGGGCGGGGTCCCTGGGTGCGCGGGTGGCGCAGCGCTACTGCGCAGGCGCATCTCTTCTCTGCCCCAACCTGGCCCGTTAGGCGTTAGAGGGGTGGCTGGGAAGTGGGGTCTGGAACGTTTTTGTGTCAAGCGACACCAGTATAAAATCGGGCTTTACTTAATACGCAGATGGTCAGAGTTATTAATGATTACCTTCTTTTCGTTCTTGTACTGCTAAAGCATTTCCACAGATTACTCACCAGTTGAGCTAACTCCAGAAGTTCTCTGCTTGCAAAGTGTGGAAATGGGAGGTTGCAATTGCAAAATGCCTTCTGCTTTGTTGTTAATATTATTACCGACAATGCATGCTGCTGGCAATCATGGTGAAGATGTCCCTGGATCCTACCCTTAACTATTCTCACTCGTACTCACTCTGCCCCAGCCTGCCTGCCACTCCTTGTTTCTCCTTGAATTTGCCAGGCCTACTACTTTCCTCAGGCCTGGATGCCCTTTCCCCAGATGTCTGCCTAGTTTTTACCCTTACTTCTTTTTTCCCCCAAGATTTTATTTATTTATTTGACACAGAGAGAGAGACGGTGAGAGAGGGAACACAAGCAGGGGGGAGTGGGAGAGAGAGGGAGAAGCCGGCTTCCCGTGGAGCAGGGAGCCTGATGTGGGGTTCGATCCCAGGAACCTGGGATCATGACCTGAGCCAAAGGCAGATGCTTAACGACTGAGCCACCCAGGTGCCCCTACCCTTACTTCTTCAGTTCTCAGATTGAGGGTCACCCTTGTAGAGAGTCCTTCCTTGACCACCCCAATTAAAATAGCAAGCTCTACCCCAGCCCGGCCTAACAACTTTATCCTTTTTTCTCCATAGCAGTCATCAACATTTATGTTGAACTACTCATTGGTACTGGCTAGAAGGGGTAGGGGCTTTGTTTTGTTTCCTGCTATAATCCCAAGGCCGTGGGACCAGGCCTGGCACAGAATAAATGATCAGTTAATGTTGAATGGATAAATAAATATCTTGGGGGTATTTTTCTTTTTTCATATAATGTTTGGCAAAGTATAAGAAGAATGAGAATACCCAGTATATGTGGAAATGTCATTTGTTACAACCTTTTTTGGGGGCAAAATGGTAACATATAGGAAAAGGTCAAATGCACATAACCTATGTGCCCAAATTCCATGATGTATAATATAGATAATTGCAGAAAAACACAAATATGTTCACTGATACACTGCTTATATGTAATAATGAAAAACTGCATACAATCTAATAATAGCCTCACTTCTTAAATACAATGGGTCTGCAAGTGCTACAGGCTCAGAGAGGAGAACTTGGGAGTGTTCAGCGAACCGACAGTGGCTCGGTAAGGATGGAGCCAAAGAGTCGAGATGGAAATTTGAGAGACTCGAAAGCTATATTCTAAAGAGTTTTGCTTGTGTACTACAGGCGATCAAAAACCTTTGAAGGAAGTGATGCAGTCAAATTTCGTTTCCTATAGCTTTCTGTGGCTCTAGGGTAGAGGTGGGCTGTGTGCGGCCAACTGGAGAAAATTAAGACTGGTGGCAGGTTACTTGCCGCAGGCCAAGTAAGATGATACCATGATGGTCTGGATATGGAGATTGGCAGCTCCTTCCTACCATCGCAGCCCAGAATCATTGAGATGACTGTATGTACGGATGTAAGCTATACTTCCCAGCTGTCTGACGATGTAATTCAAGAACACAGGGAACCTAAGAGGTTAAAATCGGTTAGACGTGCCAAGAGAATTCATGCGTTAAACTTGAACATGTACAGTGAGGTGTCTTTGAGACAGTAGAGCGGAAACGTTCAGTAGGTTGCCAGGCACCTCGGGCTTTGCGGGAGCTTTCTTCATCAGAACCGTGGCCGTCCTGCGGTTCTCCTCATTTCTTCCTGAATCCTACAAACCCACCCGGAAAGCCCTCGGGAGCCTTGCGGGCGACCCCACGCATGCGCAGTAGCACCACGCACCGAGACGACGGAGGGCAAGGCTTTTTCCGTAACCTGAAGCAACATCCTTCTGAGTCTCCATAAAAAAGGCGGGAACTAGCCAGCAGGCTGGGGAGTGATGGGACGCGCGCCTCCGCACGTCCCGCCCATTTCAGCCTCTGATTGGTGGGTGTTCTTGGCTCGTGGCGGAGGGGCCTGCCACATAGGTTGTCAGCCTTCCGGGGGCGGGTCCGGGACGCCGGTCCTGTTCCCTCCTCGGTCAGCCCCGGCTGCCGACGTGGGGGAGGCGGCAGCAGGCGGTTAGGGCCGGGGTGTGGGTGCCGAGAGGGAAGTGGGGGGGATGGGAGCCCTGCGGCTGCTGGCGGTGGCCCTCACCTGCTGCTGGTGGCCGCCGGGCAGCCAGGGTAAGACCCTGCGGGGTAGCTTCAGCAGCGCCGCGGCCCGAGACGCTGAGGGCCAGAGCATCGGCCACTTCGAGTTCCACGGTAGGTGCGGGGGCGGGGAGCGGGATGCAGGCGCGTGGGCCCATCCCGCGGGCCGCCCCTCCGCGCCTCCCCGCTTCGCTGGGGGAGGTCTGGAGCCGGCGGCGGCGACGCGGGGGACTGCCCCCAGCCCTACCTGCACTTCCCGCGTCGCCGGCGGCCCACCCCCGACCGCAGCTGCGGGAATCGAGGGATGCATTAATGCCAACCCTGCTGTTGCTGTGCCCCACTCCCTGGTCAGCACCCTCCCCCGATTAGTGATTGTATTCTGCGCTTGAAACACCATTTCCCCCACCTTCCGCGCGTACGGAGGACTTCCTCTGCTGCATCTTTCGAGATCCTTCCCTCAAGGGAGCATCGTTTGCTCACTCCTGTCTCAGCCTGATTATATACACTAAGGCACTGTACTTAACGTGTGCATTTAAGCTCCAGAACTTAGATTTCCCTGGGTTTAGTCTTTGTTTTTAAGATAATTTGCTAAAACCTACTTGAAGCAGAGAGGTTTTGGAAACCAAATAAAATACCTGATAATCTAGTGGTCACAGTTGCTAGGACAGTTTGGTTACTCCACTACTAAAGGAGTAGATTTACCGTGGACCAGGAGGCCTAGAATTCACTTGACAGAAATGCATGTAGGTGTGTCCTGGAATCTTCATCATTTGTATCTGGCCCTTCTGAAAGGAGAACTGCTTACTTACCGGTGTCCCTCAAAAATCAGTTAGTCTTAAATGAATGAATTTGCAATTCATTCTAATTTTTGCTTTATTTGCACTCTCGAAATTTAAGTGATTTTCTTGGTACATACTTTTGGTACTGAATTTGACTGGTATTGTATTGCAAATAATTATTTGCCTTGATGAGGTTGGTATCCTTAATTAATACGGTTTTTAGCATTAAAAGATGCACTGTCAGATTGTTGTCCCAGGGAGGATTCTTAGGAGAAGATAATAGAAACAAGAAGCTATTTTGGTGTAGGTAAGGAATTTAAAGTATTGCAAAATTACAGAATTGGTGGTGTAAAGGGAGGGGAACCTGAAATTTTTTTTTTAAATCAAAGTGTTTAAAATAGTTGAGAAAAGGAATGCACCCCAGTTTTCCAAAATCCAGTGTGGCACAGACCTTGGGTGAAGAAGAAACTCTAAAAACACTTTATTATATTTTAGTTCACATTTTTAGTTTTCTTAAATCAGCTGTCTGTAACTGTACTTTGACTATTGAGAGTGATAGCAAAGACACTACAATAAATGGCACAAGCTGGACAGTGCTGGAAAATCTGGGATATATGGAAGCTATGACGTGGGTTATCACTAGCCGAGGGACTCAGACAACCCATGGTAAACATGGAGGAGAAACCTAGGTAGGAAATCCAGATATCTCAGTGAAGATTGAGGAATTGAGTGTTCCAAGTATATTAACACACATACACGCTCTTTCTATGTGTGTGTGTATATATATTTTTTATTAGTCTTCAGTGAATTTGAATTCAGTAAAATAATAAAACTATATTATACTGAAATAATAAACTAACTCAGAACGCGATTTAAGATGTTAAGCCTTCGAGTCACTTCTTAAAATTTTGGATAATTTATAATGTAATCAATTTATGTAGGAGACTTGGACATTCCTTGATACATACTATACATTTAAATTTATTTGAAATGTTTAATCAAAATGATAATTATAATAACAAACATGACAACAGCCCAGAAGAGATCTTAAAATGAAAACAGTCTCCTGCTTTACTTCTCCTCACCCAGAGTCCCTTTGCCTAGAGGCAACTACTTTTTGCCATTTCTGTTCAGGGCCTTAAATGTACTTAGTGTGTGCAGCCAGGCTCATTCTATAATGTCTCACACCATCTATTGTTCTGCAAGTTCCTTTGTAAAAGTCACAGATGTCAAATTTTTTATCAGGTGGAAAATGTCTACCCCCAAACTAATTTGTTTAAACTTTCTTGCTATTAGCTATGCCAATTTTTTACATTAAAAGTATAATATTAACACACATGTTATATTAGAAAATAAAAGCTTTGGTGGGAAATTTCTATATATAGTTTATGAACAAATATTAAAGACGTGGAGTGGTTGTAAAACGAGGCAAAAATTCTGTTATAGTGAATGTCCAGATACAGCAGATGTTGCTGTTTATTCAGTGAAATGGCATCACTCTTCATTGGAAGTGTAAGGAGATACCACACATTAATTTGGATAATTAATATGAATAGTCTTTTGATTTGCACCTGAATGGGATGCTCATTCCAGTGTGATCTACCTAGTTAAGTGAGATTTAAGAAAAACTGTGTGCTTGGGTATTCTGTAAGACTGATAAATCACTGAGCTCTACCTCTGAAATTAATAATACACTATATGTTAATTAACTGAATTTAAATTAAAAAAGAAAAACTCTGTGCTCTTTAAATTCCTATTTTGATAGAGGTGTTGAATTGTCTTACCGTGTTAGTTCCATACAAGACCAAACTAGTTAATAATTTTTGTTTTAATGTCAAGGTGACCATGCTCTTCTGTGTGTCAGAATCAACAATATAGCAGTAGCTGTTGGAAAAGAAGCTAAACTCTACCTGTTCCAAGCCCAGGAATGGCTAAAGCTACAGGACAGCAGTCATGGTTATAGTTGTGGTGAAAAATTATCCAAAGCTCAGTTGACAAGTGAGTATATCCTTTTTTCTTTGATCATTAGATACGTTTTTTTTTTCCTCCTGAATGTTGAAATCTTTGTTTTCATACCAAGATGTTTCATGACACATCACACTGTGATGACATTTTGTCTAGTACATTTTAAGCTGAAGTTTTCCTTGATCAAAGGATAGAATGCCTCTCCCCTCCTCATTAAAAATTTTTGAAAAATATCCGGATAGTGTATAAAGGCATACTTTACTTCATTCGGACTTCTTACCAGTAAGTCACATAATTCATACCAGTATGGTATATTTTGGCCCAGTGGGAGCATGGAATGAATAATAGCATTGGTTGAATGCTTATTATCTGCTAGCACTGAGCTAAGCACTAAACATGCATTATCTCATTAATTGTATGATTTAGCCCAAGTGATGCTGTTTTGCAACATGTTATTGGAACATGGGACCTAGTCATATGGTGACAAAGTATGTCATTTTAGGATGTACCAGCACCACATCATTTGTAAACTTCTAGATTGGTTTCTGGAGAAGCTCTACTTTTATTATCCTAGTTGCCTGTATCCTTGAACCCTTCCATTCTCATCAGCACTATCCCAAGTATTAGGGTGCACTATCCAGAATTAGTGAAACTCTTTTTAATTTCTGTAGAAATGAAGGGCATATGCCATGCTAACCCATTTTACCCCTTGGAAGTTAATTGGTTGTAGGCGATATTAGAAATGTGAAGCATCCATGAGAAAAAGTAGGAATTATCTCTCTCCTCTCTTTTCCCCCTATTTCCCCCCCTTTTCCCCTACCATGTTTTGCATATCAGTGAGTCTTAATCTTCTTTTAATCTAGTCAAGTAAAACGTTGCCATTTTCTGAACTTTTAGTCTTCCTAGTCTCATCAGCTCTCTGGGTCCCTCATAAGGCAGCTAGCTGAATAGGGATAAGAGTAGAAGCCCCTGGGGTGCGGGGTGCCTGGGTGCGCAGTTGGTTGAGCATCCGACTCTTGATTTCGGCTCAGGTCATGATCTCAGGATTGCAAGAGTGAGCCCCACATTGGGCTCTACACTTAGCGTGGAGTCTGCTTGAGATTCTCTCTCTCCCTCTCCCACCCCCATCCCCCGCCTCATGTTCTCTCTCTCAAATAAATAAATAAATTGTTTAAAAAAAAAGAGTAGAAGCCCCCCAATCCTTGCCACCTCTTGTGGGGATCTCTTATCTAGATTAATGAGATGACATTGACAGTATGCCGAAGAAGTCTTGAATGACTAGATTCAGACATTAAAGAGACAGTTACATAAACTCATTTTACCTTTCCCCTGATTTTCAGAACTTACCTGGGAAATTCGTTTTGTTTGTTTGTTTTTTCACCTGGGAAATTTGTGCAAATGTTCATTATCAGTTATCTTTTCCTTTCTATACCAATTTGGTCATCTAAATGTTCCACATATGGATAAAAAGTTCTAGCCTTACATTCCCACTCCTTATAATGTCCAAAACCAGTTCATCATCTTGCCCATCCAAACCTGGTTCTCTTCCTCTTCCAGTGTTCCTTGTTTCAGGACCTGGCACCACCATCTGTCCAATAAACAAGCTAGAATCCAGGGAGTCTTCCAACACTCCCTCTTTGACCTCAAAATCCTCTTCCAGTTTGTCAGTAAGTGACTTCTGAATATCTCTGGAATTCATCTGTTTTTCTGTGTCTCTGCCCCCACCCTGTTATTTGGGCTGCCGTAATCTTTTGCCTGTTGCGGTAGTCTCCTCTCCGGCCACTGCAGCCGTGCTCGTGCCCCCTGTAACCAGAGTGATCTTTCTGCAGCGGATTTGATCATGTCACGTTCATTTCCTCACCACACCTTGAAATACTCCAGTCATTTTCTTTTGCTGTTAGGACAAGGACAGATCTCCTTAACCTGATCAGCAAAGCCATCAGGGTCTAGCCATTGTTTACCCCCCAGTTCCATCTCACAGCACTGTCCCCTCCTCCCTCATTTTATCTGTAGGCTTGTTTTATTTCAGTGCTGTCCTGGGCCTTTGCACAGACTTTTGTTTGTTCTTCCCTTCCTCTTTGGCCCTTCCAATACTAAGTTGACACTTGAGTTTTTATAGCTTGTTCTCTCCCACAGCACATATTATAGTTACCACTTTACATCTTATGTATTTGTTATGAAATCAGTCAGAGCAGCAGGGCTCTTTTGGTCTACTCATTCACTCATTCACTGAGCACTTCCATTGTTTCATATACTAGGCAAGGCACTTGTGATAAATCAGGGACCAAAATATACTCTTTTCGTCCTTAAGGTTAGTGGGGGTGACAGAAATGAATCTGATCAGTGTGAATAAATGTGAAATTGCAATTGTGATAAGTACTGTGAATGTTAGTTACATGGTAGTATGAGAATGAAAATTTACCATACCCTAGTGCTTAGTTTACTGTTTGTAGGATGAATTGTCATAGAGCTTAGGGCTTGAAGGGCTTTCATTTTTGTTTTTTTATTTTAATTCCAGTATAGTTAATACGGTGTTATATTAGTTTCAGGTGTATAATATAGTTATTAAACAACTCTGTACATTGCTCAGTGCTCATCATGATAATCCCCTTCATCTTTTTCACCCATCCCTCCACCCATCTATGGGGCTCGATCCCAGGACTCCAGGATCATGACCCGAGCCGAAGGCACACGCTTAATGACTGAGCCACCCAGGCGCCCAACAGTTGTTATTTCTTGTGTTTTTGATTTTAACCTTTCTCACAGGTGCAAGGTGATAGCTCATTGTGTTTTTGATGTGTCTCTTGGCCATCTGTATGTCTTCTTTGGAGAAATGTCTGTTCATGTCTTCTGCCCATTTTTTAATGGATTATTTGTGGCTTTTTGGTGTGTTGAGTTCTATAAGTTCTTTATATATTTTGGATACTAACTCTTTATCAGATATGTCATTTGCAAGTATATTCTCCCATGTTGTCTTTTTGTTTTGTTGATTGTTTCCTTCACTGTGCAGAAGCTTTTTATTTTGAGGTAGTCCCAGTAATTTATTTTTGCTTTTATTTCCCTTGCCTCAGGAGACATATCTAGAAAAATGTTGCTACAGCTGAGATCATAGAAATTACTGCCCGTGCTCTCTTCAAGGACTTTTATGGTTTCAGGTCTCACACTTAGGTCTTTAATCCATTTTATTTTTGTGTATGGTATAAGAGAGTGGTCCAGTTTCATTCTTTTGGTTGTAGCTGTCCAGTTTTCCCAACACCATTTGTGGAAGAGATTGAGGGGTTTTTTGGGTTGCAAGGTTGATTGCTTTGTATTTGGCACCTTTCATATCTGGTTGGTAGGTTGATTGCTTTGTATTTGGTCTTTTTCTTCCAGTAAAAACTTAACAGGCAATTTAAAGCTTTGAGCTGTAGGAATTTAGTTTTTTATATTATGTCGTTAATGTTATACTATATACTCTGTACACTTGCAAAAACATAAATTTCGTATCAGTCATATACCTTCAGTCACAGACCTTACGTGTGCAGGGAGAGAGCACAGTGCAGTGGAAAGACTGCTAAACTGAGAATCACTGCCAGTTTTCTTTGAGCCTCACTTTAGCTATCTGTACAACAAGAAAGTTTGGTAAGTTTTCATTAAGGTTCCGGAAAGTCCTAAACTGCTGTGATTCTAATTATAACTCTTTAGGATGGAGTTGCATATATATATAAGGCTGCAGCTTCCAAAAACCTCTTGCAGTTGTTTCTTAGGCTATTTTTCCTTCTTCTCTATTCTTCTTCTGTTGAGTATTCTTTGGAATTATTGGAATGGAAGATCTCAGGAAATAGGAATTTGTGAGGAATGAAGATTGTTTTGTTAAATTTTGGGACCTGGAATAAATTAAATACTGGTGATGTATGTATTGCTTTCTGCAAATTTCATCAACTCTTTTCCCAGCAACAAAAGCCAAGTCCTAAGAAATATTTTCTAACTTTTACATATTAGCTGTCATATTTATAGTATGTTATTATTCAGGAGCTTTGGTGCATTGAAACAAAAAGCATATCCTTAAATTCATGACAATGTAGTTGTACCACATATTTTTAAATAATTTCTTGTAGAAATAATTCTCATTTCCTGGCCATTAATGAGACTTTTAAGAATTAATAGCCTTTCACCTTCTTGGTAATGAGTTCATTAACTATGCCAAACTCCTATGTAAAACCTTACTGCTGCTGTGAACTATGAAAAGACTAGCAGATTTGAAAAATTCTGTAGTGTCGAATGTTGCTTGTGTGTATACATTCCCCCAAATTAATGTTTGAGAAATTATTTTTCAGTCTTCCTTTTTCCTTTTTCAGTAAAGTCATAAAACATCAGATTTTTTAAAAATGATAAAAACTATTTTGTAGGTTTTTAAAGAAAGCGAATGAGACATTTAAAAGCACTGAAAGTTATGACTTTATGTAAAAAAAAATTAACAAGGAGGTTCAGGTTACAAGAGCTAAATATTTTGCTTATAAAACATTTTCAGTATTGTCTTTTTATATCACACACAGTAATTCCTTTTGTACATTTGGTGTATTTTATAAATCATTTAAAGCTGTTAGCATTTTATTATTCTGTGCATTTTCTTTTATAACATGATTGGGCAGCTAGCCAGGTGACACCATTCTCTGCAATTCAAGTTTTGTTAATACGTGAGACACTAATTACATCAGCATGGACTATGTATGCTGTGTGGTAGTCTTTTGTCTCAAAAACAATGAACATACAGTTTTGTCAAGATGCTTGTTTCCCAGGCTTGCTAAAAAGCCACAAGACAAATAACTGAAGGCCAATATCACTTTTTGAAGCACACTTTTGTTTTTATTTTATGTAAATCTGCATAATTGAAAATGAAACATTAAAAAGTATATTGGTGAAATGTAATGGTTAATTTTTATGTTGTTTTATCTAAGAAAAAAGTGCAAGTGATAAAACGGCAACATATCAGAACCTTTATATCATAAAGTCCAGATTATGTAATTGTCAGCTGCACATTTCAAAAGCCTGATTTCTGAGCCACTATTGATCATATATTGAATTCTTATTAAAGGTCTTCAAATATTTAACAGAAACTAGAGTCTTTGCTACATTTTTCAAGAAGCTATACAGTAAAAAAATAAACCAAAAACAGTAGTATAAATGTCAGCTAAATTAATATAGCCCCCCCAAAAAATGCTGTAGCATTGTTAATAAAAATCATCTTGTCCCCTTTAACTAGTTATAATGAAATTCCCAGTTGTAAAGTCTAAGTCCTCAAAATTTGAATCCTGACTAGATAAATCCGTATCTCATTTATAAAGACAACTTATAAATAGCGTTTTTTAACATTTTATTTGGGAAGTTTTCAATCATAAAGATAAGTTGAAAGTGTAGTACAACTAACATCCATATATCCTTTGCTTAGATTCAATAATTGTTAATATCTTGTTACATTTGCTTTACATTTGTGTGTGTGATTTTTGTTTTTAATCAAGGCATAGGAAAATAAGCTGTGGGTGTCATGAGCAGTTCTCCATAATAACAATACCATTATGACACCATGAAAATGAATAAGTTCATAATGCCCCAATGCAGATCCCCACGTTTATCTCAGAAAGTGTCTTTGGTTTATTAAAAAGCATTTTTCTTCGATTGAGAAAAAGATCAAGACTAACTGGCATGCTATGGGGGCAATCTAGAATTGGGAATAATCTTATATTTTAAGAATACTCTACTTTGTATAGAATCAAGCTCTTTACATAGGATTTTCAGATACCGTCTCATTTGCTCCTCACAAGAACTCTGCGTCAAACAGTCAGGTATCTTAATTTTACTACTGAAGAAACACATTTCGAGAGGTTAAGCAATTTATTTGCTGAGCTGCAAGGTTGTTAAGTAACAGCACCAAGACTTCCTCGTCTAACTCTTCTACTCTTTTTATTATACATAGCATTTGAGACACTACTCTCCTACAGCTTCGTAGTAGTGTTAGTGAGTGCCTCAGAATCAGTTTCAGATTTGGAAGTCATCTTAGACATCATTAGTGTTTCTCAAAGGGGGTGCTATTGGCATTTTGGGTGGAACAGGTCTTTATTGTATGAAACTTTACCTTGGATTGCATGAAGTTTAGCACAGCCTCCCTCCAAGGACCTTCTTAACTATTGTGACAACAGAACTGTCCCTACACATTCTCAAATGCACTGGAGGGGAGCACAATTACCCTGGATTGAGAACCATTTATTATGCTCAACGTCACTAGCCATCAGGGAAATACAAATCAAAACCACGGTGAGATACCACCTTACACCAGTTAGAACGGCAAAAATTAACAAAACAGGAAACAACAAATGTTGGCAAGGATGTGGAGAACGAGGAACCCTCTTACACTGTTGGGGGAATGCAAGCTGGTGCAGCCACTCTGGAAAACAGTATGGAGGTTCCTCAAGATGTTAAAAATAGAGCTACCCTATGATCCAGCAATTGCACTACTAGGTATTTACCCCAAAGATAAAGATGCAGTGAAAAGAAGGGGCACATGCACCCCAGTGTTGATAGCAGCAATGTCCACAATAGCGAAACTGTGAAAGGAGCCAAGATATCCTTCAACAGATGAATGGATAAAGAGGATGTGGTACATATATACAATGGAATTATTATTCAGCCATCAGAAAGGATGAATACCCACCATTTGCATCGACATGGATGGAACTGGAGGGGATTATGCTAAGTGAAATAAATCAATTGGAGAAAGACAATTATATGGTTTCACTCATATATGGAACATAAGGAGGACCATAGGGGAAGGGAGGGAAAACTGAAGGGGGAGAAATCAGAGAGGGAGACAAACCATGAAAGACTCTGGACTCCAGGAAACAAACAGGGTTTCAGAGGGGAGGGGTTGGGGAGATGGGGTAACAGGGTGATGGGTATTAAGGAGGGCATGTGTTGTGATGAGCACTGGGTGTTACACACAACTAATGAATCATTGAACACTATATCAAAAACAAATGGTGTGCTATACAGTGGGTAACTGAACATAATAAAAAAAAAGAGAACCATTTATTAGTATAACTACCTTGTTTCAAAGAAAGGAAAAGGAGAATTAACCTTTATTCAGCAATTACTGTAGGATAGGTATCGTGGTAAATGACTCATGTAACTTAGTCCTTCCATCAACTCTTTGCTCTAAGTATTATCTTCATTTTACAGATGAAGAAAGTGTCATTACTTATATAACTTGCCCAAGTTTACACAGAAGGTAAGTAAGTATTGGAGCCAGGATTCAACACAGATCTGTGTAGTGCCAACTACAACATGAGCCTCCCCATCCCCCCACTGTGTAGACCTGACCCAGTAGAACAACTCTTAAATTCCGGTAATTTCTACGTTTCTCCTTTCAGTACCTTTGTAAAGAATAATCAATGAGAAAAAGATTTTGGAAAATATTTTGAAGGTATTTGTGGGTCATAGTTTTTAGATCTAATGAATCCCTGAGTTGAATGCTCCATTTTAAATTTAACTGAAATATAATTTTCAAAAATGTCACTGTAGTTGTTACCCGTTGTCATGAAGTTGTTACATTGTGAATGTACTTAATGCCACAGAGCTAACTGTATGCTTCAAAATGGCTAAAATGGTAACTTTTGTGTTTATGTATGTTTTACCACAATAAAAAATTCTTAATGTTACTAATCCACTTGAAAACTTTGAAATATTTAAAATTCAGATTCAAAACTTCATTGAAACCATTCTACTCATTTGTGGTGTTTCACAGTACTTTTATAGTGACCCCTTTGTTGAGGATACATTATTTTTTATCTGCCTTATGATTTACAGGCCTTATTCAGTACTACACCAGGGCTTTGATTTTCAAGACAGAACAAAACAAAAGAATTCTAACTCTGAGTTGATTATATGACTGAAACAATGAATATATTTGAGAGTTTTGCTTTGAAAGTGCTATTTTCTTTCTCTTTAAAGTGACCATGAATCAGACTGAACATAATCTGACCGTGTCCCAGGTTCCATATCCACAAACGTGGCACGTGTTTTATGCTGACAAGTATACATGCAAAAATGACAATGAGAATTCTCAGGCGGAAGAGATCCCATTTGAAATGATGTTACTAAACCCAGATGCTGAAGGGAATCCATTTGATCATTTTAGTGCTGGAGAATCTGGTAAGAATATATACTTAAATAGATGTCCTAAATATAGAAAAAACTTGTGCACAAATATCTTCATGTTATGTTTTTTGAATATTAAAAATGAAAAACAACTTGTGTCCAACAGTAGGCAGATGGTAAGTGAATCCTTTTATAGCATTTTAATAATAGCCATACTATTAAGTTAGAAAAGCAGAACACTAAATTTTTATATTTTACGATTTCAAGTATGTTAAAAAATGCAGAGAATTAAGCAGAAAGAAGTACAAAAATATTAGTAGATTGTTTCTATATTTTGGGGAGTAGAATTATAGATTTTTAGTTTTCTCTATGCATTCTAAACGTTTTTGTGGGTTTTATGATAACCTAGCATTATTTTTATAAACAGAAAAATGCTAATAAATTGAGCAATCTAAATTGGAAAATCAGTTTTTTTTTAAAGATTTATTTGAGAGAGATAACAAGAGCAGGAACACAAGCAGGGGGAGTGGGAGCGGGAGAAAGGAAAATCAATTTTTTTTTAAATTTTTTTATTGTTACGTTAATCACCATACATTACATCATTAGTTTTTGATGTAGTGTTCCATGATTCATTGTTTGTGCATAACACCCAGTGCTCCACGCAGAATGTGCCCTCTTTAATACCCATCACCAGGCTAACCCATCCCCCCACCCTCCTCCCCTCTAGAACCTTCAGTTTGTTTTTCAGAGTCCATTGTCTCTCATGGTTCGTCTCCCCCTCCGACTTACTCCCCTTCATTCTTCCCCTCCTGCTATCTTCTTCTTCTTTTTTTTTTTTTTTTTTTAACATGTATTGCATTATTTGTTTCAGAAGTACAGATCTGTGATTCAGCAGTCTTGTACAATTCACAGAGCTCACCATAGCACATACCCTCCCCAGGAAAATCAATTTTTAAGTGAGATGGAAACTTCACTATTTTGTATGGCTGTCCTTTCACCAAGTTGTTTAAAGAGATTAGGGATTGTCTTCATGGGAGCTTGCAACCATTTTAGGAATGATCAAAGTTTATAATGTTTTCCAAAATCTGTTTTACTCCCATAAAATATTTCATCAAAATTTTAGGGTTGGCTGCGTATTGCCCTACAGAAGTAAGATTCATAGCCCAAACAGAAATGAACGACTTCTTGTGATTAATGGTAAACATGCTATACCAGTATTATAGCAGATTTGTAAATTGACATGTCAGAATGGAGACTAAGATTGTAGGATGTCTATCAAAGAAGAGGACTAGGAGTTTGCTTCTTAATGAGTTCATTACCCATCTGGAAGAATCAATCTGCTTAGAAATTCAGTCCCATTAAATCTCATTGGCCATCAAGGTGAGTGGGTGCAGGTAGAAAGAAATTGAGGCTACATTAGATGAAACCAATTGTTTAATTCAAAGTGTAAATTGCCACAGCTAGAAATGTAACTCAAGGGGCATGTGTTATGGACAGTAGGTCACCAGTAACTTAATGTATGAAGAGGTAAATATTTTTTAATATCTTCTAGTCTGAAAAAAATATTTGCATAGCAACAGAATGGAGAGCCAAACATTTTTAAATGGTTAAATTTAAAAGTTCTTTCTGTGAAGGAAATGACAGAAGGGTAAGCTACTCAAGTTACTTTTGAATGCAAGCGAATTTAAAGGTTAAATTTTACCTAACAGTACTTTGGATCAGTATGGATCATTATTGGAAGTCAATTCAGGGGCACCTGGGTGGCTCAGTTGGTTAAGCAGCTACCTTTTGCTCAGGTCGTGATCCCAGGGTCCTGGGATCGAGCCCCACATTGGGCTCCTTGCTCAGTGGGGAGCCTGCTTCTCCCTCAGCCTGCCGCTCCCCCCTGCTTGTGCTTGCTCCCCACCCCGCTGTGTCAAATAAATAAATAAAATCTTTAAAAAAAAATGAAGTCAATTCAGTCCTACCATTTCTTTTATCTTTATTTATTATTATTATTATTATTATTATTACTATTATTTTAGAGTGGGGAGGGAGAGGCAGAGGGAAAATCCCAAGCAGGCTCCAAGCCCCCAGCACAGAGCCCAGCATGGGGCTCGATCCCACGACCCTGAGATCATGACCTGAGCTAAATCAAGAGTCAGATGCTTAACCGACTGAGCCACCCAGGGGCCCCATTTTTTTTATCTTTATAAGAGATGTTGACATTTATCTTCTGTAGTTTGGAAAGGCATCAATGAAACCCAGGTCTAACTGATAGCTTTGGATGGACAGGTGGATTAAATTGCTTGTAAGTTCCCTTTTAACCCTAAGTCTTTATTATTTCATATGACAGTTATTTTTAGGACTGGTAAAGGCTCAGCAGGAAGTAATACTCTGCTGCATTCACTGTATGTGCAAACACTACAGCCTATAGTGCAGTTGGTCCAAAAGCCCTTTCCCCTCTTGCCTTCCTGGCAATTTGCCTGTAGCTCAAGAGGTTGTTTTATTTATTTTGTGGACCCATGAGACTCTACTAGATCCTGATACACTTTTTTTTGCTTCCTTATCCAGGCTCCCATTTTTGGTCACTTTCCTCATTACCGGTTAGACATCTGAACATAGACTGTAGGCCATAGAGTGATCACATCTGTGGCCTGTACCACCCTTGGGCCACTGAATGTCAGCCATACTTGCCCAGGCTCACCCTGAACCTTGCCCACGTCTTCCAGTGTTTTTTCCAGCATCCTGAATTATGGCTAGCTTTTTCTTTAGGGTTCACAGGAACCATTCTAATTCAGCTCTTAGTCCGGACTCTTTCTGACCTACCTTCTCCAAGACTGATTTTGATTTGATGCTTATGTTTATGTTTAAAATCTGTCTGATACTAGAATGGAGAAAGTTACATGGTCATGTCACCAATAATATTTAAATGAGGGACAGAGCCTCCTACAGTATGTATTTTCATTAAGCATGAAGGTGTGCAAGGCTAATCTGTGGGGATTGATTATTTACAAGTGCCAGACATACTCAGAAGTATTTAGTTGTTATAGGCTGGCTTAATTCCTAGGGATCACATCATTTTATTGATTAAGGTACGTGAAACCCTTAAAATATGATTAATTCTACATTGCCATGACATATGATTAGTTCTACATCAAAGGCTAAATCAGTGGCCCACAACCCATCACTGTGCATCTGGAGAGCTTTAAAAAAAATACAAATGTCCACCCCCTGAGACTCAGATGGATTTAGTTTTGGAGTGAAAGCCAGGCAACTGTGGTTTGTCGAAGCTCCAAGTTGATGCTAATGTGCGGAACCAGTGATCTGAAAGTCCATATCCCAGGTGCCTGGGTGGCTCAGTTGGTTGAGCGTCTGCCTTCAGCTCAGGTCATAATCCCAGGTTCTGGGATCAAGTCCCACAATGGGCTCCCTGCTCAGCGGGGAGTCTACTTCTCCTTCTCCCTCTGCTCTTCCCCGCCTCTCGTGATCTCTCCCACTCTCTCTCTCAAATAAATGAATAAAATCTTTAAAAAAAAGTCCATATCCCACATTGCTTTGTTATATTGGTTTTACAGTAGAGCCTTGAGAGGGATTCTTCCTATTCTGTAGCCTCAGGTATGGAATTTCTTTCCAGGGAATAATCCCCAGTTAGTTTATTTTAGAAACTTTTGCTTATCTGTCTAATTTTCTGCCCTGAGTAGGGAAAATTGATTTGCTATGGTTTTTACTGATAATTTTCTATTAAGCTGTATGTCTAAGGAGTTTGAATTAGAATAACCTGGTGCAGATAGCTGCAATTAATGTTACATGTTATTCTGGTTAGATTTTATAATTTGTTTTCTTTGAAACAAATTATTTTGTATCTGTCAGACTTTGGTTAATCTCATATTTTACAGATTGGTCTAGGTTTAAAAAAAACACTAAGGCAAGGATGATGCCACTTGACAAAATACTACATACGAATATTATGTTTTAAGGTAGAATAAAGTAAAACTGCTTCTTAAAAAAATTAGAATCTTCATTGACTATATTTGTGCTCTTGTTAGAGACCAAAAGAAGTACTCAGAATCCCGAAAGTTAAAGCATTATCATCTAAAGTAGGCTGGTTTTCATCGGAATAATATTGTAATATTATTCTTTGTCACATCTGCTATCTCACTGTTTTTAAGATTCCAGATATTAGCTCTGGTAACATGTTGGAATGCTTTTGATTTAAAGTACTATAAAACTTTCATGCAAGCGGTATAAACAATAAGGAAATTAGATTCTTACGTAACAAGAACTTCTGAGGCTTCTTCACAGTGGTTTATTCGGCATCTCTGTACCCTCCTATCTTCTGACTGTCAGCTTTGTCGTTAGGCTAGCTCCTTCATGTTCAAGGGCAACTGCAGTTCACTTTGTGAGCTTCACATCCAGATAATGACAACATTCAGTATCTCTTTTTTGAGAGCAAGGAAACCTTTCTCAGCAGCCCCTCGTCAGGTTTCACTGGCCAGAGGAGCTAGGTCACGTGCCCTTGCTCTACAGCATCGTAAGACAAATGTAAGTGAAGGTGTCGGGAAGAGATGAGGGTAGATTAATATGTCAGAGTACAGGGTTAGGCTTACCTCTTATTGGCAGGGGTGTTGGAATTTCTGTGGTCAGTTGAGGCTAATCAGGGTATATCTTGAAACACTGCGGGCCGCGGGCACGTTGGGGTAGGCAGGAGTGTTCCTCCCAGTGACTCTCCCCTTTTCTTACCCTCTTTTCTCCCATCTCCCATCATGTAGCTGGAACTGTTTTTTGAAGCTGTCCTGTAAGTTTTCTTCCTGCTGAATTTTGCCAGTGCTTCTTCACATTAAGCTTGCCTTAAAATCTACACATTTCCTTCTAACATACATGTTTGCCACCTGTTGCATGCTCATTTGACAGTAGTTTTCTTCTTTTGTATATAGGTGAGCATTAACACTTAGTACCCACCTGTCTTATAATTAGAATTTAATTTCACAGTGAACAAATATAGATTGTTTTCTTGTGAAGGATGGTGACAGAATAAAGTTGATCACTGAGGAGAAAAAAACAGACTTCTTTTTTCTAGAGGGGATTTATTTAAGAGAACTGCATGCAGAATCAGCATTTTATCTTTAGACTATCTTGTGGACAGGGTCAAGGTAAGAATAATAAATGAATATTAAGTATAGGACACAAATGTCCTGAGCTAGTTCAAGTTATTTAATATATCATTTGAATGAAAAAAAATTTGTTGCTTATAATGTTAACTTTAATGGAAGGTGCATTTAATACTGAATAATTCTGTTTTGTGCTACTGACATAGGTCTTCTTTTCACAAGTACCTTCCTCGTATATTATTCTGATTACTCAGTAAATAGTCTGAGGATTTTCTTTTCGTCATGGATTTGTATCCTGATGGAGTCTGAAACTTTATCTTGTAATGGATACTCTGTAAAGTATTATAAGTAAATAAAACAAAAGAATGCCATATTTAATTCTTTATACTAAGAAGGAAAAATAAAAACTAAGATTCAAAAGACCGGACCACATAAAGAATTTTACTGACTCACAATGATAATACGTTTAGCCTATTTTCTGTCTTGTTCTATTACTATAACAATCCCAGGCTTATCATCCCATTATTTCTAAAGCTGGAATACTTTCTATGTAAGGAGTTTAAAAAGAGATTATGCCTTTTCAGTTATTTGATCTTCTCTTCCTGAAGTCTAAACATGCTTTTTCACCTGGATGAGAGAAGTAACTAGTGACATTTATGTGTGTAGAGCAGGAGAGACACCCAGTGGCTGAAATACTACTTCTTTTTTTTTTCCTCCTAACCATTCCAAAAACATGATTGAGATTGAAGTGTTTAATGACTGTTTTTCCTACTGTTTGCATCTTCTGGATTGCTTTTTCAAGATTAATACGCCTTTCTCTGCCTGTTGATTGGAGCTTACCTTACATGGGAAACTGGAGCAGATTCAGCACTCACGATTGGATGGGTGTGATCGCAGTTCAGACTGTTCATCCACAGATTCAGCGGAGGCAGCCCCCTTCATGGCCACCGGCACTATACTCCGGTGTTATGTAGATACAATATAAAATCCTAATATTAGGGACTAGCTTTAGATGTAACCAAGTCGGTGTAAGTAAGCTATTCAACTCAAAGCTAGACCTCTAGTTTATGATAAAAATTTTCTGAAATTTCTGAAAAATGAAGACACAGTCAAAAGATTCCAGGTACTGCAGCAAAAGGGGGTGTTCGTGTTGTGGATGCATGGACACTGCACTAGAAAGCTGTTAGTAGGAACTAGAAGCTGCTTAATGAGTGGCACCATTTTTAATACAAAGTCTGCTTGTTTACTTTGTTCTTGTCTTTACCAACCAACTCCCTTTGCTTATTCGAAATTTCTGCTCACTCAAAATATTTATTTCACTGTGGCCTGATCTGATGTCTTTGGTCTGTCCCAACATCAGCTCCTTTCAACTTCAGTTTCTATTGCCTAATTCTTTCCATGTTTTGTGGTTTCATTTCCTGAGAGAATATGGTTAGCCTGACTTATCTTTGAGACCCAAATTACTCTGGTGGCCAGTGGCTAGTCTTCAGATTGGTGGCCGTTTGGTCAGGTCTTAGTTTTAGTCAACTGTGGAATGGAGTCTCATGGTCTCCATAGGATTTCCTCTTTGACAAGAGCTGAAGACAGTTGACTTCAGAAGGGGACTCTGGTCACAACAGGTATTTTGAAACTGTCTAGCTGGAAATGTAAGGTAATGGTACATTCCAGAGCTGTGCTTTTGCATCAGAATCGCCTGATGGGCTTATTAAAATACAGCTTGCTGCTCTCCTCTCCCCGAATTTCTAATACAGTAGAGCTGGGATAAGGCCCAAGAACGTGCATTTCTATTTCTAACAAGTTCCCTTCAGATGCTGCTGGCCCAGGGATCGCACTTTGAGAACCATCGTCAGGGTGTATTTAACTATTGTTGATGAAATCTGTTCCTAAATTTCATACTAAAGTCATCCACTTTGGAGGCAAAAAGTATGTCTAACTGAATGCTAAAATCCTTGTTTTAATTTACTGTTTTTTAACAAAACTGTGCTCTTACGGTGAGTCTTCTGGCTTATCCCCTGACCATGATGCTTTTTTATAGATTGACTTTATCTACATTAGTTTAATCTGCCTTCTTATATTTAAATCTTTATCCCAAAGTAAAAAATTGTTCACATTTTAACAATTTCCCTTTTTTCCATACAAAAGGGAATGCTATGACTCCAATTAAAAAAGCAAGTTCTAGAAGTATATTGAAGGAAGATTTGAAAGCAACCCCACGCTATCACTGGCTTTGTTGTACTGAAGCAAACTCCTTTCTTCTCTTCACAGGGTTACATGAGTTCTTTTTCCTCCTAGTCCTGGTGTACTTTGTGCTTGCTTGCATTTATGCTCAGTCATTGTGGCAGGCTATCAAGAAGGGAGGGCCCATGCACGTGATCCTAAAGGTTCTGACAGCTGCACTGCTGCTACAGGCCGGCTCAGCGTTAGCTAATTATATTCATTTCTCCAGGTAACTCGAAACGACTAAAACTGTGTTCACCATTGCGTCTAATTAATCCTAATTAGTTCGCCAAAATTATGCTGGCTTTGATTATGAACCATCTTCGTGCATTTGTAATTTACACTAATACTCTTCTCTTCAATTCCTCAGTTACTCCAAAGATGGAATAGGGATACCTTTTATGGGAAGTTTGGCAGAATGTGAGTACCCTTCTGAGATGTGTTTTTTGAAACCTAAACTTGCTCTCTGCTTCTGGCTTGTTTTCCTTTTTTTGTAAATTATTTTCATCCTGATACAATTTTTCTATCCAGGGTTGGTTAGAATTCAGCCCAACTGTAAAGAGGGTTACAGATTTAGTTCCCATCTGTCCCGTCTAGTTTCTTCTTGATAATAGGTAAAATGTGTAGTTCTTCATTGTTTTTGGAGCTTACTTATATGCATTCCCTCACTTTATCTCAGGAAAAACTCAGTGATGTGGACACGTTTATCCCTAGTTTGCACATAAAGCATCTGGGCTCATTGACAGGAAGCGCATTTCCAAATGTCAGCAGCTGTTGCACGGGAGAGACCAAACTCAGACCCAAGTTTTCTGATCCCAAAGCTGAAGGTGGTTTTCCTGTTTTCATCCCTTTTTTGACTTTTTCTTTTTCTGCCGCAGAGCCAGAGAATATACCTATAATTGAATTGACCTCACAGCTTCTTCCCTTTATTTATATGAAGAACTTTGATGAAGTAATTTTTCAACTAAGCGTGATGGGAAAAATATTTAAAAGTTCCCATAATCTATAATGCCATTCTCAGTCCCAGAAAAGTAGTCAAGATTTGCTCTAAGAAAGCAAATTCTGAATATGAGACCATTCCAGGATTTACTTTTTAAAATATTTCCATAATTCTCTTTTAGTCTCATCTCTCTTTATTTAATAGGGTAGCTCATGGTAATCTCTGTAACGATCTCAGGACCCATCTGTCCTTATCTTGCTGCCTATTTTAAGATTTTAAACCTTTTAGAACCTTTCTTTTCCTCCTGAAGAGGATGTGTACTGGTCACCTCTTGGACACGAACGCGAGTTGCTTCTCCTTTTTGAACAGTATCGAGAGCACTGGTTTCTCCTGCTCTTGTCTCTTAGGTGACTCAGGATGTTTAATAGAACCATAGTATTTTAAAGCCGAACAGAACCTGAGAAATAATTTAGCTTATGCCTTTTGAGAGGCAAAGCACACAGAAGCCCATCAGTGGAAGCTACTACTAAAATCAAGGACTTTTGAATTTTTGTGAGTGTCTGCTGATACAAAATAGTGTTTTAGGTTGTCTGGCATCTTCACTGTAGGTTAAAAAGCAAAAGTGTTTGGTTTTTTTTTTTAATTAAACTACAATAAATGCTAAATTTTGGTGTTCTGACAACAGGTTTGATAAGTTAAATGATTAAAACGTCAAGATTTTTAATAAAATCACACAGAATGCGATTTTTGTGTGACCTGTATATTTTGTCTACAGTTAGGTATTTTTCAGTGACAGCAGATAAGCAGTGTCTTATCTACCTATGCTTACAGTTACAGTATTCTATCAATATGTGTCCTACTTAGTATACAAAGAATTGAGCCAGGACATCAGGGGTTCCGTCCCCCCAGGTATTTGGTTTGCTAATTAGCAACTTATGCAGGACTATTCCTTTGGCTGACTTCTTTAAATAACTGAGTATATATTTGTGAGATGTTTAATAAAAGTAATTGGCATCACAGTCATTTACAATCTGTGATGAAAGAAAACTGCTTGATCTGAAAGGCCATAACATTTTGTACCATTCAAATGTAGTAACAGTTTATTATCAGAATTTACTATTACAAATATGTGAGCACAAATGTCGAGTATCCAGTTTTAATTTGCATGGCCGAGTAGAGGGAAAATGGTCAAAATATATCTGGGAAAGTGTATCATTAATAGGTTTTCAGCTTGTAACTTTTTAATATATTATAGTACAGCTAGTTGTACCTCTTTTTGCAAGAATATCTTTATATAAAAGAAGTAAAAGTTGTAGACGTCAAAGGTATGGCTGGCAATTTGAAGAAAGTTTCACTTTGTTAAATTCTGATCACGTTTATTCCAAAGTCCTCATCAAAATACCCTATGATGAGAAAGTGGTCATCTTTTTTAAGTCAATAAATACCAGTTTCCAAAATAAAAATGCATGGAACTTGGAGTATTTATAGATTGTTGTTTTCTCCAAGTCTGGAACTGGATGGGTGGTCTTGTTGCCTCTGTTTTTTAAAGCAGCAGGCTTCCCCTGCAGTGTCAGTGATGGCCACCTGGTGGCGTGTCACACTAACGCACGGACCATTTCCTTCGTCTTCGGGACTCTAGCACTAAAGCCAACATCATTGAATGTTACAGTAGCCATGTGTTTTATTGTCATGCTATTTCTTATTAATAGTTTTAGAAAATAAGTTCACATTATATAGTTCAACCATCAAAAAATAATTAACAGCCTGGAAATGAAGGCACTAGTATTCTCCACATTGCAGAAATTACATTTAAAATGTGTTTATTTTTAATAAGCAGTCTGTTATAGAGAACGGCATTATGTAGTTAGAAAAGCTAAGAAAAATGGGAAACAGAGATTTAAAGTTGGTCTTAATAAAGATATATGGATATATATAGAGAGAGTATTGCCAATGTTCTATTTTCAGAAATGTTTACAAACTTAATGGCAAAATTTTAATTTTTAGAGCTCTACTTGGATATCTCTTATTATTGAATTACTGAATTTTATCGACTTCTCTTTGAAAATGCCTATCTTTTTCTGTTTAAAAGTGTAATTATATTCTCAATGCAAAAAGGACCAAATCCTTTGTAATATGAAAACTTGGTTGACTTTGGTTTTCATTTCCCATTAGTTTTTGACATTGCTTCCCAAATTCAAATGTTATACCTGCTTCTGAGTCTATGCATGGGTTGGACGATAGTCAGAATGAAGAAGTCTCAAAGCAGACCTCTCCAGTGGGATTCTACTCCTGCATCCACTGGCATTGCTGTATTCATTGTGATAACACAGGTGAGTATTGATACTCAGTGTTTGTACTTTACGATACACAGAAATGCAAACTTGAACAAACCTCATTTCAAAAGTGAAACTTGGGACTCATGAGGAATTTGTCATTTTGAAATATGAATTTAAAGAGTGATAGATCTGGGGTGCCTGAGTGCCTCAGTTGGTTAAGTGGCTGCCTGCCTTCGGCTCAGGTCATGATCCCAGGGTTGTGGGATCGAGCCCCCCGTTGGGCTCCCTGCTCGGCGGAGAGTCTGCTTCTTCCTCCCCCTCTGCCTGGCTCTCAGCCTACTTGTGCTCTCTATCTCTCTGTCAAATAAATAAATAAAATCTTAAAAAAATAAAGAGTGATAGATCAAATAACCTGTAATCTTCCGAGTGCTAGTATATGTAGATTGCAGAATTTAGTTGTAATTTACTTGAACTTGAGCTTTCACAATCAGCTTATTTAAAAATATGCAGAATGCTTAATATTAGGATAGATTCTTATTTCCTACTTAATAGCTTTCTTTTATATTTTCTAACACATAGTAAGAACTCAGCATTTTAAATGAGTGAATTAGTGAATTGGAGATTCATCCAGGGGCAAGGATTTTTTTTTTTTTAGGTCCAGTTCTGTTACTTTATACGTGAAAGAATTCAAATGAATATCTGAGATTAATGAAAAAGCAAAATACAGAATGAGAAAGAATGGGATCTAGTTTTTGAAAAATCCAAAATCAAATTTAATCTTTTAGAAAATTTAGTTCTCTGAGCTTTTATTTGTTTTCTTCTATTCTAGGATCTCCATATGCCTATGTGCAATGGATTTTATAAAAATTATTAAGGAAAGTATGAACAAAAATTTATACTGAGTTTGTGACCATCATTAGCTGTAGATGAAAATGAAATATAGGGTGCCTGGGTGGCTCAGTTGGTTAAGCGACTGCCTTCGGCTCAGGTCATGATCCTGGAGTCCCGGGATCAAGTCCTGCATCGGGCTCCCTGCTCAGCAGGGAGTCTGCTTCTCCCTCTAACCCTCCCTCCTCTCATGTGCTCTCTCTCTCTCATTCTCTCTCTTAAATAAATAAATAAAATCTTTAAAAAAAAATGAAATATATGTCTGGGCTCTACAAAGGACATTATAAAGTGAAAAATTCATTAATGAAGTATAAGTCCTGTGCTTTATTCATCTTTATACTCATTGTATGTATTTAGTGTAGTAGGTGCTAAGTGAAATAGGTGTATTGAATTTCATGATTGAGTTAGAAAGAGACCATATCACAGGTGGTGATACTGAGTTAGGAAATAATGCCTTTCTAAGGCATTAGAACAAAGGGCTAATGACAACTGAATTAGAAGTGATTAAAATAAGGGCAAGATTCTACCGACTTGATGTTTTTGATCCAGGGCTTATGGAGAGTACTGTTAATACTCGGTTAAATTCTCATTTCTCAATAAATAGCTTTTTTTAAAAATGAATTTTCATGATTTCATTGTAATTTTGACCCATTATCATAGACAAATAAGAACTGAGAACAGAGATGATGACACTAATCTAGAGTTTATGTAAGCATCTGGGAAGAATACGTTTGACAAGGCCCTGGTCCTCAGCAACCACCCAGACAAGGTGCACGCAACTACATAAATACCTGCGTATTTTCCACAGGTCACATGTTATATACACATCTGAAAATGTGGAGTTTGAGTCTGTAAAAATGTGAATCATGGGAAGTAATAGGGTTTTTATTGGCTTTATTGGGGTATAACTGAGACAAGGTGCACGCAACTACATAAATACCTGCGTATTTTCCACAGGTCACATGTTATATATACATCTGAAAATGTGGAGTTTGAGTCTAAAAAATGTGAATCATGGGAAGTGATAGGGTTTTTATTGGCTTTATTGAGGTATAATTAAATAGAAATTGTACATATTAAGATATACAGCTTGATGTTTTGGTATGTGTCTACATTGTGAAGTGATTGTTCACCAAAATCAGGCTAGTTAACATATCCATCACCTCACATAGATACCAGGAGATAGTAGTTGTACAATAGCACGTCCTTACTGCAAAAGTTAAGTTTAAAGATAAGAGGTTAAGGAATCGTAAGGGTATAATAATTTGGGGGGGGTGGTGAAGAAGTAGCCCTTCAGTAATGGAGAGCAAATATTCAGCCTAAGAAGGAAACACACGTGTCCAGGATGACAGAGGAGTTCAGCTGTCGAGCATGGTAGTAGGAGTAAGACCAGGATGGAAGATTTGAGAGTGAGAAGAGAAAGGGGTTGCTGACAAACCCCATAAAGCCTAAGAATTGGATTTAATGACTGAGTTTTGATCTGAATTCTTTGGAAGCCACTGAAGACCATTCTGAAGGCTGAGTTGGCAGATGGAGGAAACACATGGCTACTGACGTGTGATGGCAAAAACATTATGGTAATTTGTGATTGACGTTTGGTAAAGATGGAAGGAAAGTGTTTCCATTGAATAGCAATAAACAGAACAGCTAATGAGGAATTGCTGAGCTTTTTACTTTAATGGTAACAATATGGGGAAAGGAAGTCAAACAAAAGGATGAGTGCTGGTTATTCATAAATAACCTGGTTGCTTATAGTGAATATTAAAAATATACTCTTCTTTAGGGCACCTGGGTGGTTCAGTCGGTTAAGGGTCTGACTCGATTTCGGCTCAGGTCATGCTCTCAGGGTCCTGGGTTTGAGCTCCCTGTCTGGCTCCACACTGGGTGTGGAACCCGCTTGGGGTTTCTCTCCCTCTCCCTCTGCTCCTCCCCACTGCTTGTGTGTGTGCAAGTACTCATTTTCTCTCTCTCTCTCTCACACTCAAAAAGAAATACACACACACACACAGAGTTCCCTTTACCCTGGGGAGTGACATCTGAAATCAACAATTCTGACTTGTTCACTTCTGGATTACAGAAGATACTGAGATATTTCAGAGTTATCCTGAGATAATGGGCTTGAATACATTGATTCCTAATATGGTGCTGAAGGAAGAGAGATTTAGAAGAAAGTTCAGGTTTCTTCTCTTAGTATTTTCAACTTATTTTCATCCTTAGAGATAAGTCTTACTTGAATTGTGGTCGCAATTGCACTTTTTATCTTTTGTATGCGGTCTTATTTGATAAAAATCCCTTTTCTCTAGCTTAGGGTATCAGGGAGGAAAAGTCTGTGCCTGATGCCTGTGCTTTATTAGTCAACAACCTTTATAGTCTGGTAAACCTTAGAACCTCTTAGGAATGTTTAGATACTCTTTAAGGGGATGTTTGAAAAGAGTTGACGAAGTGTGTATGAGTAGACAGGATTTTTTTTCTCTAAATGTAATATTGTATTTTGCAGAGTATTTTGCTACTTTGGGAACAGTTTGAAGATACCAGTCCTCACAGCTACCATTCACATCACAACTTAGCAGGGATCTTGCTAATCATTTTAAGGATTTGCCTAGCATTGTCATTAGGCTGTGGACTCTACCAGATCATCACAGTGGAGAGAAGCACGCTAAAAAGGGAGTTTTACATCACGTTTGCCAAAGTATGGGTTTGGGTAGAAAATGGCTTCTTCTGATTATCAAGTTTGTTCTGCTGTGCTAATGTTGGTTAAGCTTTTATGATGTGCTGGAGCACTAAGATATGCCCTTTATGTGCTTTAACTCATTTAATCTTTACAACCTATGAGATGTAGATGATATCCCATTTTACAGAACCTGTAGAATAGTAGTTTCCATGTAATCTTAGGTCAGTTTAGCCTGGATCATAATTTCTTTATCAATAAGAATTTCACATTTTTTTTCCTATAGTATCAGAGTTTTTAAAAAATTAAATTAGAAAACAGTTTACATTTCTCAGAAAACACTAAGTATGAACTGTTACCGTCAGAGTTATGCAGTGTTTTCTAACCATGAAGAGCTCTCTTTAGCATAAGCAGATGAAGCAGGAGGCTGAGGACATACTATGTTTCAGCCATTTCACTACCTCCGTGTGAGGTCACATTGACTTTATTCCTCCTTTCTATGTCCTTCTTATACAAGTGGAATCTCAAAGCAAATTTGACTTTTTTTTTCTTTACCCATTTAACAAAAGAAAAGATGAGGAGAGAAGTCGGGGTAGTAACACTGCAGGAGCCTACCTCCCTAGAAGGTTCTATTTTTCTGTCATATTGAGAGAATCCATACACCTTCATCCTGGCATCTCAGAACAGCATTCAGATAAGCTGTTCATCAGCATCCCCCCCACCTGAGTGCGCAGTGCTCCACATTCCAAGGCGGCTGTGGAAGGAGGGCCAGATTCCTTATTCCCAGCGTTCAGCATTTTAAAGCTGCTCCTGCAGCCCCGGGAACCCACTTCAGCTTTCTGAGTACCACAGGCAAGAAAATGCCACTTTGCTTTTGAATTTTTCACAGGGATGGGAGTGCTTTTTGTTTGGAAAGATAATATGTATTTAAGATGTTTTCAAACTACATTTCCTCTTTTGTTCTGTGTTTAAAACTGGTCCAAACTTTTTTCTTGAACTTAAGAAAATTATTTTTGTATGTTTTAATTTAACTTTTTAAATGGGTTCAAACATCTGAAAGTATTTAAAAAGAAGCAAAAGTATTTTTTACTTCTCTCCCATCTACTCAGTTATTATCTCCTCATATAATCACTGCCATTAATTCCTAACTTATCTTTCTAGAGAATTTTAAATATTCCTGTGTATTTCCTTCCATATTTACACAAACAGTAGCAGTGCTGAACACATTTTTTTTTTTTTACAACTTGTTTTTTCCCTTATCTTCAATGTACTGAGCATCTCAACAGCTACTATTTATTAGCTTGTTCTTTTACTTCAAATTTAATTTTGGAAAAGAAAATACATGACCATTCTTGGAGAAATAGAAAAGAGATGCTTGAAGAGTATAATGCTAAAAAGTTTCCCATTCTTACTTGCCTAGTTCCACTCTCATATACTAACCCGCAGACAGGCCACCACTATTAGTCAGTGTTTTGGGTATTCTTACAGAATTTCTTTGTGTATCTCTACATGCAAATACGATTATACGTTCTTATTTTTTTTCTTTTTATAGGAATATTACACACTTGTACCTTTTCTCAATTTTTGATATTACTTATATTAATGTATTTTCATGTTTAAAGATGTAATATATACACTATAGTATATTAAAATGTGTACATATAAGAGATTTACAAATGCAAAATTTAAAATCCGCATTTGATTAGAAACAAAATATTATCATAGCAATAGCAAATTTATTTTTACATTTTATTAGATAGAACTTCTAAAGACCAATTGAGGTCAATCAGGACCTCCTAAATAGGTTAGTAATGTTTTTTATCTGGCACATTCTGGAAATAAACATACAGCTGTACTCATTTGACTTATTTGTCATTTGTTTCAGGGCTGTATCTTGTGGTTTTTATGCCATCCAGGTCTTGCATGTATTTCTGTCATTTTTAGTGACTACCAAAGAGATAAGGTAAGTAATATACGTGATCACAGTAGTTTTTTGTTGTCTTTATTGAGAAATTATTAAAGTAGAAAAGCCCTATTTATCCACTGATCAGGTTTTCTGAATTCTTTAAAACAAAACTTTGAAGCAAAATAATTGAACTGGTGAGTATATAAGTAAGAACTTTAAATTGTAAAAGAAAAATGTTTAATTTTAGTTAATTAAAAAAGGATGAAAATCACTTTCATTATTTCACCTATTTCATAATACTGTTTTGTAAATTAGACAATTCATAACCCATCTTTGTTAAGAACAATTGATTCAATTTTTGTACGACACAGTGGTTACAAGTCAAGACAGATTTATGAAAAATCAGTCTAGCTGCTTTACCAGAGTGCGGACTGGAGCGCCACACTCGAGGGGCCACGTGGGATGGTGTTGAGCCCCGCCTTCTCAGGTCACCGGCGCTGTCATTTTGGCACGCTCTGCCAGCCACCTCTTACAAGCCACGCCGTGTGGGCTTGAACACGCAGGGGGCTCTTGGACCTGAGGTGTCTGCAAAGGGTAAATAGAGAGGAAGGTAGTCTACAAAACTAAAGCAACTTGAGAATTTTTGAAAGGGCTTTTAGAATACTCTTCAGGATTCAGGTGGGGCCTGCCTTCCTCCTCTTACCAGATTAGCCAGGAACCAGATTTTTCTTATCACTTTCTGTAGCATGTGCACCTGAGGAGAGAATGGTTTAGCAAACTGAATGTGTCTTATTTTGGAGTCTGTAAACCTAACTGTTCAATAAATTTTGCCTTTGAACAGTTACAGTTCTGAACGTTAGTCATATTTTCCTATTGAAAATTTCTTTGATAAAACGTACCCACGGTAAAGATAGAGGAGAGAGCAGGGTACCTACGTATGTGTTTTGTGTGTAAATGGGAAGTATATAGGCTCCTGATAAATTGAATATAATTTGTCTGTGTTTGCATGCAGTAAAAGCATTCCCTTTCTCTTCTTTTCAGGTTATTACAATAGGTGTTATCCTTTGCCAGTCTGTTTCCATGGTTATTCTGTACAGACTCTTTCTGTCCCACAGTCTATACTGGGAAGTTTCTTCGCTTTCTTCAGTAACACTACCACTGACCATATCATCTGGACACAAAAGTCGGCCTCACTTCTGATGCTTTGATTTTCTTTAAAGGAAAAGTGAATTGATTTAAGAGTGCAATAAGGATCCAAATACAGTGACTTTTTTTTTTCATACTTTTGGTATGAAAAATTGAACAAAGAAGGCAGAGCATGTTATTTATATAACTGCATTTAAGCAGTATCAAACTGAAGAAAGGTAATAAATGAAATGTTTTGAAATACGCTTAATAAACTTTCAAAAAGTGTGTTGTTATAAGGTGACTTATGCAATTTCTCTGTGGAAATTAAGATGAAAAAGAATTATATGATATTTTGGTAAGAGATTCACCACTTGTAATGCCTCATCTTATATAAATAGTTAACTCAGGTTTGATAGTCCTATAAAAAGTAATCAGTTAAATGATTACTTGCTTACATATCTAAACTAAGTCCAATTACGAAATCAGTGTAATACACTGATTAAAAACTGCTTCTTTTTACGCTTTAAGGAAAATGCATTTCATACTGGAGTTTAAAGGAATTGAAAATGAAACTACTTCAGAATGTGAATATAAAATATATTTATAGCTAAATGAATAAGTTTTTGTTTATTTGTGTGTGGGGTTCTTCTCCATTTTCTTCGATCACTTTTGGCTCTAGTTCAGGTTCTGGCTTGATTAGCAAAGGGTTTTTGACAGATAGTTTATGAAAAATAAAGCTTAGATACATTACATTGGTTGTTCCTTATGAAGAGATTTAAAATCTGAGCACTTAGGTAAGGGACAAGCAGGGTTACATGTTTAAAAAAAAGAAAAACGTACTATATGATATGGTACTAAAATTTTAATCCTGATATAATTCATTTCTCTTACATTGAATCCCCAATCATAATTAAGCCGTATACACAGATTAAATTAACAGAAGCATTTCACATAAATGTTGGTTTCAGTCCTCAACTATCCATGAATTCCTGCCCAAGGATACTTAATCAGGATTAAATTTTCTATGAATAATTGAAAAACAAAATACTCACTGGATTTGTTATAATCCGTGTTGGCACTGGATTCTAAGTAGTTGCCATCTTGAATCCTTTGTAATAAAGCCATATTTTTTTGTGTGTGCGTTGCCCCAGTATTGAGTATGCTAGCGACAAAATACTCTATCAAGTGCCTGTTTAAGGAATTGCTAAGTGGTTGTCAATACCTGCTGTATAAAATGAGTATTCCTGTTAGTAGTCACTGATTGGAAATTATTCTGTTTCTGTGTGTCATGCTGTTCAGGCCTTTTCATTTTTACATCTGGCTTATTTTTTTTTTAATATCTTTTATCTACTTCCAAAGGTATTACATTTTTAAGCAAGAAATGGTGCGCTGATCTGGTAATTAAAGGTTTTAATTAAACAGTTAAAATAACACAGCATAACTTTAAAGTACCTATGGCTTCATCTTTGTTCTTACCTTACACCTAGTCTCATTGAAACAGTATTCTGTTTCATTTTAAAGGCAAAATATATATGTTCATGAGTGACAGAGGTGACAGAGGTCAGCCTGCTCATTAAATCATCCTTTAACGGTTCTTTGTAAGTTATTTAATAAATGAGGGCTACAGGTTACCTCTAGGAAGTCTGAGGTATATTTTAGGTTTACATGATCTGTTGTGTGATCGTGACCCTTCCTTTTAACCACATCTCACTCATAACCCCAGGTACTGTCTGTTGTGTTCAACTGAGGTACAGTGAATTAAGCAGAATAAAAAAGGGGAACCCTTTTCATAAATTTTATGAACTTGGCACCAGTAGAAATAGGGAACAATTTTTCTGTTACCTTACACAAAGAACGTAGAAACTGTAGTCCAAATACATGAAATGTGTTACTGCGCTTGCGTATATGAAACTCTAACAGGTCTTTTTTTTTTACTTTATTATTTTTTAATTTATGGTCGAATTTGTTGACAATTTATTTTGTTATTCAAGAGCCATTGTTAAATGAAGGAGAATTGTTGTTAATAATTAATAATGTATAAGACATTACTAATAAATTTAGTAATCAGAGCTGAAAATTTATAGTCCGTAAGTCATAGCACAGCATCCACTCTTCTCTTGCTGAATGTTTGCATGGAGCTCTGTCGGCACAGAGCCTGGAAGGGTAAGCATATACTGCAAACTCTCATTGAAGATCAAAACTTTCCTACTTTTCTTTCTGTCAGATCATGCTTTTTTTAAATCTATTTTTACATTTTTTCTTAAAGAAGATGAATGGTTGTGTGCAGAGCTCTTTTTTTTCAGAAGCATTTTGTTTCTTTTCTTAGGAAAGTGTAGAAGATATTTACTTTTATTGACACATGTAATAATATTAGCTCCTGCTTAACTGAATGTCTCTTGTGCGTCAGGCACTTACTCTCGTCACTGAGCCCTACTGTGCTAGCAGAGCTCCCCTTTAACTGAGTATAAGAAGAAATTATTTCTCTAAATGCACCAGACTTCTCTTTCACTTTTCTACTTTTTACCCTCATGATTTAATGAGCACCTATTTGGTGTGTATGCTTTTAGTGAAAATGCATGGCTATCCATAGTTAATTTTAGTTGTTGATTTTAATGTTAAACTGGAATTATACTGAAGCCAGAAATGAGCTTGCGTATCTCTCTGTAAGTATGCACCTCAGCACATTTCAATATTTGAACCTTGGCTTTCAGCTAGAGGGAGAGAGAATCTAGGCAGAAGAGCTTGTTTTAGGAAGGTTTTCTGTGGTCGCAACTTGTAAGCCAAGTCTATTGAAAAGACAAGATCTGTAAGTCTGAGGCCAACTATAATGTAGAGACTGGAACGTATATCTCAACATGAATGGTGGCCCTTCAGCCTGTTTCCCTTAGGAGGCTGTGCCTATTCTCTGGAAATTCTTAGGAAATCTGGAATTACTTGTATAACATTCTCTTTAAATAGCTTCCATGGTGTCAAATCTGTGAGGTTTTCTGTTTGTTTTTGAGAAGTAATGCAGTAACCAATTTAAGACCAGATCTAAGAGGTAATACTGGTTTTTGTTCCAACATGAAGTCAAGAATTGAGACAAATAACAAGATTGGTTTTCCTGTGAAATCTGCAAACTACTGTGGAAACACACTAGCCTGAACTCCTTGCAGTAGTCCTCGAAAGAATATTCCTGCCTCCACACTTGGGCAGCCTTTTCTGCACAACCCCCAGGACATCATGCACATTGTCCTCTAGGAGTGTTATTCACATAGGACACCAGGAGGTGGAGGAGTCCTAGAAAGGAGTGGCCCTGCCCACCAAAGCCCATTCTCTGCAAAGGGAAGGGAAATCAGTTGGATAATGGAATTCTTTGTGCTAATCTTATGCCTCTTTTTAAGTTTGAAATTATTTTAAAATAAAGTTAAAAAATATAAATCCGATCAAACTACTACCGGCTTGTTAAAAACTCTCCATTTGCTTCCCATTGCACTTAGAAAAAAAGTGATCCATGCTCATTACCATGGTCTACAAGGCCCCATGTGATCTGGTCCCTGCCTCTTTGATCTCATTTCATATCACTCTCCCTCTCACCATACTCCAGCCTCATCATTAAAAAATAACCTCGTTTATATCACTGCCTCAGGGCTTTGCAGTAGCTACTTCTTCTGCCTGGAATACTCTCTTCCAAGTCTTGGCGTGATTGTGTGGCTGAATCCTCACCCACCGGGTTCTCGGCTCCAATATCTTTCAGAGACTTGACCATCTATAGTGGCTTTATATAGTGCCTATGTGGCCAAGCTGGAGATAGGTTCCTCTTAATTCTCCCTGCATAATTTTAGGATAGTGTGGGTCACAAGAGATGGGTGGTGTGAGATTTAGAAGGCAGAAGTTAAGTAGCCAGGTCCAGCTTCTTTTTATAATTGAAAGGTCCAAGCAGGCCATGCATTTTTGCAGCTCACCCACATTATTGCTTATCTGCTGGCTTATCTTTTTGGTCTGTGGGCCAACAACCAGGCCCACAGGAACGGCAGCTCCTACTTGATCACTTCCTTTATTTTCTCCCCAGCCAGGTGCGTGTTCACTCTGTGACAAAGGGTGCCAGGTTCTGCAGCACAGCCCCGTCATTGAGATTGAAGGCTTGGAGGCAGTGAAAGACTGGCATGAATCCCCACGGGTTCTACTTATCCTGGCAGGTCCCAGTATGTTTTCGTTTCCCCCACTTCACACCCATCTTCCCTCCCACCTGCCTGACACAAAAGAACAGCCTCTTATAGTCCCTTATTTTATATATTATTTTATATATTAAAATGTGTGTGTGTGTGTGTGTGATATCCTAGTGGTTCTTCTCTGATCAGCTGCTGACTGATAGGTATCCTGTCTATGGTGCTACCCTGTCCTAACTGCTCCATCCCATTTCCCCTTTTCTTATTCCAGTACTTACCACTTTTATCTCTGCCTGCTCCCTCTCTCCTCAGTTAGAATGTAAATTCTGAGGGAGTTTGGCCGTTGTCTGTATTGTTCATTGGCTGTATCCCTAGCACCTCGAACATGCCCTGATGCACATTAGATGCTCAAAAGTATTTCTTGAATTAATGAATGAAAGCAATTTTGAAAAAGTTTCAGACATGTACTTAGCAATATAGCGTTAATTAAATCATAGGACCTCCCGTAATGACTTAAAATAATGCCTTTGTTCTTTATTCAATTACGTGGAACCAAGAATGTGTAAAAATCTTGTGTAGTCATGTAGTTGTTATGAAGTTTAATCTCTCAAACTCACCAATTGTGAGAGGCTTCCTCAAGTTGTCAGAGGCAGTTTTCCTCTATATAGTATTAGGACCATGTGCCTTGTTTCTTAGACCACAACTAAAAGCACCAGTGTAAAAGAAGTTTGAGTCAACTAGAGGAAGAAGGTTGATGGTAGTGAGAAGTAGCTGGGAGAAGTCAGAAAAATTAAAAATGACAATAACTCATATCACAGGAGTCTGGGGTCATTTAGTGTGGATGAAAACAGCCCTGTGTGCCTGAATAGACTCTTAGAGCTTTATTGTTCAATATAACTTACAACAATGGCTCTTAGTAGATTAAATTATAAATTACTAAACATTATGTTCAGTATCCTCAGAGAAATGTGCAAATACATTGTAATGTTTTATTCTCAAACAGGTAATGTATGCATGTTGTGCAAAAATCAGAAGATTGAAAAGGGTAAAAAATTAAGTTCTTTCAGCCACCCATTTCCTTTCCTTGGATCCAACCTCTGCTATCAGTTTCTTGTTTATTCTTCTGGATGGCCTCCTGTATATATAAACACACACATATATATGAAACACAGATTATAGTATGCCATACACAATGTTTTGCACATTCAGCAGTTTATTCTGTATCCCTATCTACAGAATTGCTCCATTTTTTTCACTGGCCGCATAGAACCCCATTATATGGGTGTATTTTACTTTTTTAAAACCAGTTCTCTATCATGAGACAGTGTTGGTTTCCACTCTTTTGCTATTATAGGTGCTTCTAAACAGGAATAATATGAATAAAAAATTTGCCTGGCCCTCTTCCCAGCACCACAGCCCGCCCTCACCTTCCCAGGATGTAAATCCTTGGAGTTTCCTGAGTGCGAGAAGTGTCTCTGTTATTCATGGTGGACCTGATAGTTTATGCTAATGAGATGACTCAGGATGAAGACTGGCCACACCGG